TCATATTGTTTGTTAAACAACTCTGGAGCTTCTGGTTAGGAAGCGCATTCAAAACCTTTGTTTGAAATGGCGCGTTAAATTCAAGTCTCCATTACAGACCAGAGAAAACTAAAGAGAATGCAACGTTGTGTTAATCCATTTGAAGAGCCGGTAGTTTATCTGGAGGAAATAAATGACGATGCAAAAGTTAATTAGACTGTAACATGCGCAGTCCGCTGCTCAACCACTGCGGACGCGGCTCCGCCGCTGCGAAGACTTAGAAACCGCTGGAAGTAACTCATCCAGCGGCTTTAACAAATGGAGCCTTCTGGGTTCACGTTACCCAGGAGAGCGGCGCTCTGGAGGAGCTGCAGACGTAACATCTGTCCGTTTTGGAGAAGCGAAAAAAAATAAATAAATCCTGGTAAAAGCGCACACCGGACCGCGCGCAGGGTAAAACACTCAAAGAGTTCAATCGATCAGTTGATCTGTTTGGATCAGACAGATCCAACTGACTGATGAATTAGCGCAGATTTTTCTGCAGATGGGAACCAGGAGGAAGTTGTTCAGACCCCAGCGGGTTGAAGTGATGCTAATTTAAGTAAATTCGCTTAATTTAATTTATTAAAAGTTATTGGGGCCTCAGTCAGTGGTTTTTGTCACTACGGAGAAAAATGTAGATGCATTTATCTGTTTAATTTGTGATGGGATCTGGATTCACGGTGAATATTAACTAAACCGCATAAAATGCAGCTAAATAGCCGATGTTAATATGATTGTAATTTCACGGATAAAAATAGTATAGGGCCAATTTTTTTTTATGTTGTCGGTCAAGATAACGGATAACACAAAAAAAAGTCTAGCGCCACCTGCCGCCCTGACACCAACTCACACACATCTTCATTCAGTCTTACTTGTAAATCGATTTTTCTTTTCTTGGCCGTTTTGATGTTAGCTTGTTGATGTTTTATTCGCTGGGGAAAACAATAAGCAGCTTGAGGTGACTCTGCTGCTCTCTAGTGGCGAGAAGCCGCAATGTTGGCTGGTAACAATCGGAATGCATTATGGGAGATGTAGTTTGTAGTCAATTCGTGCTCAAAACCTATTTTAAGTTAATCTTGGCCCTATAAAACGGTGGGAGGGCCACATAAAATGACATGGCGGGTTACATGTGGCCCGCGGGCCTTGAGTTTGACACATGTGCTCTAACAGGATAAAATTCAGTGAAATATGTTCATTAAAACACAGTTTATTCCGAATTTAAAAGACAGTTTCAGTTTCAAAAACAGTGATTTAAAAAGTAAAAGTAAAATACTGCTGGTAAAACAATAAGGTGCTTTCAGTCCAGGGGTTTGTCAGCTTCGTACCGTTCAGATTTTATTCAGTTTGTTTTGAGTCATCTGAACCAGAAGCTCAGAGTATTTCTCCAGGAGCGACATCGTCTGCTCGTCCTGCGTCTGACCAGAGGGGGCGCCGCAGCACGGCGCCGGCAGCACAGCCTGCAGCTCCCTGTGAGCGGTGGCGGCAGCTTCCTGCAGGACAGAGCAGCTTTCTGATCGCTCCGAGCCGCAAACCTGCTGGGAAAAAACGTCAACGGAGAATCAGAGAAATCAGACGAGTGATCCAAATGGTCTAAACATGGCCGCCGTCAGAACGACGCCAACCTGGTGGTACAGGAGGACGGCTCGCTGTGTTGCCTGGCGCAGAGCGATGGCGGCCTGCTGACACCGCTGCAGGCTGACCGGCTCCGCCCCCTCTTCATCTGAAGCAGAAAAACAAAAATAAAAACCTGATTTTATCGTTTCAGAGCGAAGAGCGTCTCCATGGAGACGATCTGAGGACTCACCTGTCAGACAGGTGCCACTGTCTGCCTGGGGGCGGAGCCTCTCTGACATGGGAGAGGAGGAGGAAGTGGGCGGGGCAAAGACCGACGAATCAGGTGCAGCAACAATATCTAAAAAAAATAAAATAAAGTAACCTCAGCCTTCATCCAGGTTTTTTCAAAACATTTTTCAGTTTAAAAATATTTCAGATTTTCTAAAATCTGGGGTTGAATTCAGGCGAGCCGGATCGGACCGAACCAAGGTCGGCTTCAAAGTTAAAACTTTAATCATTTTATTTCCTCAATTTTTTCTTAAACTTTAGAAATGACAAAAAACAAAGAAAACTGGCTTTTACTCAAACTCTCCTTAAGTTGATCAGAACTCAAAAGTTTAAATCAATAAAAGCTTTAAAAGACGCTGGCCAAACAAAATGGCTGCACTGACATCACTGAACTACGGAAGCTCACCTGGATCAGTCGGACTTCCTGGCTCCGCCCCCTTCAATCCCCCAGGTGGCGCTGGGGGGGCAGGGCTCTGGATTAGTGTCCTGTTGGGATTGGTTGGCGTCTCGTCGAGGATGCCGGCGCTACACCCACTTCCTGCACACCGTGATGTCACTGCAGGGGGCGTGGCCAGAACCTGCGGGCTAAAAAGGACAAAACTGATAAATATGTTTAACTTTAAAAACGATGTTTTTAAAGTTAAAATTCAGGGTTCAGACACTTTTCACAGGAAATTTCAAGCACTTTTCAAATTCCTTGAAGATTAAAAACACACACACAAAAAAAAACAGTTTTAATTCCCTGTTTAATATTCATCAATTATTAATAATGTCTTGTGAGTTTTCTACACTCTGCAGCAGGGACAGGATGAACTAAAATATATCTGCAGATCATAATCTGAATAGGAATAATAAAAAATATGTTTGGCAATTTTTTAGGATTTAGCAAATTGAAATAATTTTGGTAAATATAAAAAACTTAAAACGAGAAGTTTTGTCTGCTTCAACTTCAACAGCAAGAAAAAAACTTAGGTGTACGAAAACATCTGGTTTCAACTGTAAATGTTCTCCAAATGTAGGCCTTTAATCAAACGTTACATTGAACTTTACTACAAAACTGTGCAGTTTGAATATGAAGCACTTTTCAGTCCTTGAAAAAACTGAACTGAAACTAAAGCATTTTCAAGGATTTCAAGGACCTGTATGGACTCAGAGTTTAACATGACGGCAAATCAGGTCCGCCGTAGATGGAAAAAAATAGGAGTTAAAAACCCCAAATTAAAACTAAATATGAAAAATAATCTCAAATGTTTGAGCTCCAAATTTCTAAAATTTGCACAAAAAAAAAAAAAATTTAGAAGCAGTTTTCTAGTTTTATTCTAGAAAATGGCAGAAATTTACTTTTTCAGAAATTAATGTCTCTAAGTGAAATCTGACTTGACCTGAGGATCTGGAGGCTGCTGCCATGTTGGGTGACTGGAGCTTCCTACCTGCTGCTCTGCTCCTGCTGGGAGCGGGGCGGAGCCTGCGGGGGCGCAGGCGGAGCCTGCGGGGGCGCAGGCGGAGCCTGCTGGTTCTCCTTGTTCTCCTCCAGGGGGCAGCAGCCGGGTTTGGAGATGTCCAGGTACGCGAGGCGGGACTCCTCCGTTACTGAAGACGCAGCGCCGCTGTTGGCCGTCCTGGACGTGACGTCTGATTGGTGGAAACAGAAACAGGTGAGGCAGTGAACCTGACTCAGGTGAGTCAGAGAGGAAACGGCCAAGTTGTGCTCTGTCAGATGATTATCAGACCGATTTGGTTCTGATGCGACTGATTGGAAATCATCTGCTGATCAGGAGGGAAACCTTCACCCAGAAGCCTCGGCTGCACCGTGAGAGACACGCCGCGAGCCGCTCACACACCTCCCAGCGTCTTCTTGCACCGCAGCACCAGCACCGTGTGTCGTCTGCGGGCCGCCCGCCGCCGGGGCTCATGGGAAATCCCACAGGAAGCTCTGCTACTCAGGACCGCTCTACCTCCCACTGCGGTCACACAAACACTCCCTGTTGGCGAACGGCACATGTGAATGTATCTGGAGTTCCTCAGGGAGGCGCTCCCGGCCCCCTGCTGGACGGACCACAAACTGATCTGTTAAACCCGACCGGCGCCTTCCAGTTCTGATCGGTATCAGCACCACGGGGGGACGATCCGAGTGTTCAGAACCGGTCTGAGCGGAGGCACGTCAACCTCCATCTGATCTGAAGCAGAACCGGTCCAGCCGGTCCGGCTGCCTGCGTCCAAACAAAAGAGTTCCTGAAGAGGCTCTGGTCCCTCAGAGTTCAGAACCGGACCGTTTGGGTCAGACGAGCTGAGGTTGGCCTTCAGCTCAACAAACCGTCTGAACAAGCCGACCTGCTGCCTGGTTTATGACCAACATCAGGTTTAAACAGAAAATCCTAAAACTTTTCCTCACTTGTTTTCTCTGTAGAAACTATGAACCACAAGCAGAGAGTTAAAGGTCCTAATGCCATCTGAGTAACATTTAAAGATTCTTTATTATGTTACCCTGAAATCCATTCTGCTGTATATTTGAGTCCTTGGGGGGCAGGAAGGTTGAATCTCGTCTCTCCAGAAGCTGCTTAGATACGGTTTTATTTTGTTCGGGTCACATCTTTCAGTCTGTTCTACGTTTTTTCAACCATCACATTTGCTACTAACATGTTCCTTTAATCCGCCATTTTTATGTCTTACAGTAATTTTGTAATCCAAGTTCAAGGAAGCTAAAAGTGGTTCAGTCAAAGCAAAGCGAAAAGCTGCTGATGTTAAAATGACAAGCTATATTTTAGACATTCATTTATTGTGTCTGTGACGTCCTGGCTGCTGTTTTGCTAGCAGTAGCATCATACCTTTGCTAGCGTTAGCAATGTATGCTAGCTGTTAGCTTCTTGAGGACAGAACCGAATCATTTGTTTTAAATTATTACGTAAACAGTCCAGCATCGTTTTGTCTTGGGGAAACATGATCCAAACGCAGTCGGTGACGTAGCGTTAGCATTAGCTAAATCAGTAGCAAGCTGTGGAGGCTGGATGGATAAATCTGCTGTTGACAGGTTTTATTTATTATGGAATAAAAAGTTTCTGCGTCGTTAGCCAATTGGCTTGAACTCTAACCCCTTCAAGCCAGCAAAATGGCCGAAGGGGTCAGAGGGGGAGGTTTAAAGAAACGGCATCAAAACCAGTAAAACAAAGTGGAGCTAAAATAACCAGGATTCAGACTGAATCACTTTAAACCACATGAATGAACTAAAGGTGGAAATGGAGGATTCATTAAAACAACCATCTGCGTTCAAAGTAAATATGTTCAGTTCTACTGACAGTTAAATAGGGATCCATGTAATAAACGGAGACCGGACCGGATCAGAACTCACCTCTATCACCGTTTTCTCCTCGAGTCGAACCCGGAAACCCGATGGCGCCGCTGGGCTCAGATCTCATCTGGAGTTCTGATCCGGTCTTCAGGTTCGAGTTGCTCTCCTCAGAGATCCTGCCTGTGATCCGGCCGGGTCGGACCCTGGAGCACATCAGAACCACGTCGGTATCAGTGGGGCACTCGGGCGGCGCCGGGCCGCGGGGAATGGACCGCAGTCGGTCCTGGAAGCGGGACAGGAAGCGGGTGGAGATGCTGAGGCGCGGGTTCAGGAAGGGCTTCTCCTGGGCCGGCCGCAGCGCCGTCAGGTCCGTATCGAAGCGTTCTGCAGAACCGCACGGCACTCAGAGCGGGAAGCAGCAGCAGGAATCGGGTCGGGTCAGGAGGTTCTTACCTTCAGCCAGGCTGGAGGCCAAACTCTCAAAGTGGTTCTTCAGAGAGTTCCGGTCCTCGTCGTCCTCCGGACCCAAACTGCCCACAGAGCTGCCCTGGCTCAGGGAGTCGGTGTCTGACGGAGAGGAGCAGTTCGGATCAGAACACGTCCTGCAGCAAAACGCACTTCTAAACATGACGCCTTTATTTTGAAAACCCAGTTAAACTCCTATATTTTAGATCCAAACGTTAAATTCTGCAGAACCTTTCGGGTTATTTTTTGTTCCAGGCAGCCATGATGGATCCTTTGGAAGGCGACGGATTCTGTTTCCTTTAGCGGGTCAGCTGTGGCCCACAACCCATGCTCAATACGTTTTACACGTATTGAGCATGGGTTAGCAATCACGCAATGATTACAAGATCACCCCCCCACCCCCCCCCCCCCCCCCGGCCGCCCCACACCCCAAGAGCCCCCCCCCGAACACCCGCCCCCCCAACCACCCGCACNCCTGACACCAACTCGCACACACCTTCATTCACAGTCTTACTTGTAAATCGATGTTTCTTTTCTTGGACGTTTTGATGTTAGCTTGTCGACGTCTCAGTTTTATTCGCTGGGAAAATCAATAAGCAGCTTGAGGTGACTCTGCTGCTCTCTAGTGGCGAGAAGCCGCAATGTTCGCTGGTAACAATCGGAATGCATTATGGGAGATGTAGTTTGTAGTCAATTCGTGTTCAAAACCTATTTTAAATCAATCATGGGCCTATAAAACGCTGCGGGGGCCACATAAAATGACGTGGCGGGCCACATGTGGCCCGCGGGCCTTGAGTTTGACACATGTGCTCTAAAGAGAGCCAGAATTCCCGCGCTGCCGTGACATGAGCCCCTCCCACTTCCCCGAGCTCAGACAGGTGGACAAAGTAACACGTTACCGACATCACTGTTCAAGAGACTTCAAGGAGTGTGGTTTGAAAAGACAAAGGCCTACAGTGGACAATAAACCTTTGGCAGAAATAAATTGGGGGAAAATCCATAAAAAGTGAACGAAAATCTTAGCTGCAGCAAAACTGTTGACAGTTTTGTGATATCTGCAGAAAGGGATGCAGCCACTGATCCTGCAGCATAACTAAACCAGTCTTTTATCTCTGATTTGAAAAAAATATATATATCTGTAATCATTTTCAGTATATAGGTGGTAAATTGAGTCATTTGTACTTGGTTGTAAACAAATACTTATCATGAGAACCCCACCCCCACATACTCACACTGGACTGTGTGATTTCATTCTGTGTCCGGTGTCGAGATGAAGGCAGTGAGGCCAGCATTGTATCAAAGCATAATGTCTCATGTGTAACAGAGTCTCCCATCACTGAGTGGGCCAAACACTTTGCAACACAGAAAGCTCTGACTGGACTGTGGAGGCGAGGTCCAGACCAAGCAGATCAGAGGCTAAATGATAGCTCTGTTAGACATCTGGTGAGTCTTAACATTTCACCCTGCAGAGTAAAACAAATAGGTTCAAAAGATTTGGTTCAGGTTTTGGGGGGCGAGGGGAGATGTATATTGGCATCACACCATTAGAGTGTTATAAATGCGTCAAATGTCAGAAGTTGCTTTCCAGTCTTACATAAAACCATGCTGCTGAGTAGAGTAGCTTTTATCCTGATATTTGATCAGAGATTTAGCCTTTCAAAATAAGAACCTACAGAAATGGTACAGAATTACACCATGTGTTTGCACCCCATGCAACATGAGCATGGCTGATAAAGGAAGTATACAGATCTCAAAGAGTCTCAGAGAGCATCAAAGTTTGTGTGAGCTTCTTTGTCTGGGATGTCATATTTTTTTTTGCACCAAACATGTCACCTGTTCTGCTGTGCATTTTATAATAGGCTACAGAAATGATCTTCTTTTGTCATGTTTTTTTTTTTTTTTTTTTTTTTAGCAAGCTTCAAAGTGACCTCTTTGCTTTCTCATAGAAAGCATGTTTCCTCACCTCACATTTAAGTTAAGCACGTGCAGGATCTTTCTGGTTTTACTAATGTGAACTTTGACATAACCAGATGCGTTTCTAAATGCCATGCTGATAGTTTATCTTTGAAGACTTCTTTCAGCATCTTGCAGTCTGTTGTCAGGGTTCACTTACTTGGACAACCAGATACAAAGACACAAGAAAGAAGACTGGATTGCTAGAACAGTACACCAGACTATCAAAGAATAATAAGTACTGACCTGTTCACAAAAGGAAGGAGTACAATATAATAATAATAGTACCTAAAGTACCAAATAAGTTAAATATTTTTAATCACATGTATTATCATTAGTGGCTGTTTTTTATGTTACAGTGTGAAAATATACTTCTGGAAATTATGGTTAAAAACTTTCAATTGTAAAGATTTATACACATCTGCAGCATCCATGCCAACAAATGTTTTGACACACTAAATGCCTAAGCTAGATGTGACTAAATTAATTTAAAGTGAAAGTTCTCGTTTTCGTGAATTTTTTTATAGACCTCTTCACAGGACAGAAAACATGTCCCAGAAATCAACTCAAATGTGGGTTTATTTTGTTGTGGCACAATGATAAAACATTCTTTATCATTCAGTGTCAAATAAACCAAGACTACAAGTTGTTATAAGAAATAAAAAAAATAAATGCCTATGGTGTCATTTCATCACTATTTTCAAAGAACAGGTGTTGGCTGGTGAGGTGAGTGGCATCAGCACCGTTCATGGTTAGGACATGGAAAACAAAAACATTTAAAACTCAAAGCTCCAAGTATTCTGGAATACTTTTCATTTGTAGCATATAGCTGCAATATGCAACATATTCACTGTGTTCAGAGCCTAATGCCCTCTAGTGGAGATCAAGTCAAATTACACATTTAATTAGGAAAAAAAAGAAATAAGTTAATAACGTTGAACCAGTGGTTTACATGAGTCAGTGATGACTGTGGTCAGCAAAATCCCAAAGACAACTTATTGCACCTTTTGACACCTTAACAAGAAGTTGCAAACAGAAAACTAACAAAAAAAACCCCAACAAAAAACAAACCTAATTCACACCAACAGCAGAAACAATAAAATTAAAACAAAATTCAAATATATGGAATGTATAAAATATAACAAAATTGTACATAGAGGAAGAAAAATAGAGAACAGAGTATAAGTCATTTCAGACAAAGACATTAAAAGTAGTTTTCAGTGAATGGAAGAAGTCCACCAGGCTGTAACAGACCGACCAGTGAGCGCTGCAGCGACTGAACGCCTCACATAGGGAGAACTGTTTGCACACGTTCAGGGACTTGATGTAAAAGCACGGCCATGATGCCCAGTGTCCACAACAAACAAGATTATGGTTAACTTTAAAGCCAAAACATCAAACCCTCATTTTGAACATTTTAGTAGTTTAACTTTTTAGTGCCTGTAAATCAAGCACACAGCAATCGTCCAAAATAAACACACACAGTGGAACTAAATATCCAGGTTTGGTGCCAGTAACTGTGATTTTTACTTCTCTGCCTAGAATAGCAGACAACATAGAAAATTAACTTTAAGAGATACTGGAGTTTTTGTTTTATTTTAAGTGAAATTCTACAAAGTTATCAGTAGCCATTCCCTTATCTCTTGAAGAAAGAATGCACTCTCATTTATTTGTATTATTTGGTCATCCTATGTGGTGCATCTGCCTCATTTCTCCCTAAATATTTGTTGATGGAAACAAACACACAACTGACTGGTTCACTTTGTGCCTGTGTGTTGATGTGCAGCCGACTAAATCAATGTCACTTCATCCCGTTTTATTCATGTTTGTGTAGATCATCCACACGACACATTACCCTCAATACGCCATCCCTGCTGTGAAATACGGCAGTGGCAGGATCATGCTGTGGGAATACATTTCTTAAGCTATGATTAATCTAAATTAGGTTATTGGTTGCTGATTAATGGTTTCTCAAAGTACCAAAAACATTGACAGTTCAACTTCAAGGAATAATCCAGGTTTTCTCGACTGAGGTTTAGTGTTTATCAGTATTAATTACTTTTCCTGTTGAAGATGATCTTATATTACAGTGAGCTTCTAAAACAAGACAGTAATGGAAAGGCAACAGCTGCTGACCCTAGTTTTGAGTGATTTGTGTAATTTTAAAACACAAACAATTAGAGATATCTATGGATTGCAACAATTTACTATTAAATATTAAACAGCAACACTACGAAAAGAGACCACTGATAAGTTTTTATAAGTCTGAATAGGCTGCTGTCAGTGCAACAGAATGAAAAACTGAATCGATGCCCTTTTGTAAATCTTGTAGTCTTTTAGATTTTATCCAGGGAGACTCAGAGTGAACTTACTGCTAATGAGATAAATTGATGCGCAATGCAACTTTGCAAAGCAAAAGTAAAAATTGTTAAATATTTGCTAAAAAGCTGTCAGCCTTCCATCGCGTTCTGGAGTTGCTCACTTTTCTATAACCTCAGCGACATGACATCTTTCTACTACAGGTAGGTAATTACTGATGATATATGCACATGATTTAATGTTTCTTTGGGTTGAATTTTCAGTATATTATAGGTTTCTGGACACTTCAATCAATCCATAATCGGGATCCTAATTTAGATCAAACAGAACTTTTAAACATGTGAAACACCAGCATGGTGACCTGTGGTCAACCCTTGTGATCAGCTCTGGGAAACTGGGAATGTGTTTACACTTTAACAGGAAGTGGAAGATGGAGGATTGCAGCTTTACAAATTTGGGAAGCAATTACAGATGACTGGCTGCAGATGTTCAAAAGTGAAACTAGCAACTATGAAACAGGGTCCTTTATGCAGCAAAATGCATTCAGCTAGTGAGACACACAGAGTATGATCCAGTGATAAAGGGGGGGTGGGGGGGGCACAGATGCTACATTAGCATCAACTTTAAAGCACAAAAAGCAGAGACAGAAAAGAAGGCAGCTTCAGCCTTAAAACCTGAGCCTGAACATGCAGACAAAAAGAAAACTACACTACATGGTGGATTTCTAAGTTGGTATAAGCTACACTACATCAAACAAAATGAGAGCATTAAAAATAAAGAATAAAAAGTTATAAATAAAAGCTATAACATGTTTCAATGGCATCATATTCAAGTAATCTTGATAAAGTCCCTGATAGTGGTTCATGTAAACATTGGAGTCATTAACACAGACAGAACCAGCAGTTCTTGAGAAGGCAGCAGCATTTCATATGTACAACACAACAAACCTGCACGTCATCTTCACCAGGCTGGTCCAGTCACATCAGTTTGTGTTTCAGAAATGAAAACGTCAGTATGAGAAAGCTTGTAGGAGAGCCACATTCACACCTGCATGGGTGAGGGCTCAACTTTGGGAGGAGGAGGAGGGGGAAGAAGAAAAACGAATACTGCTGGCCTGTTTGAGCCAATCGACGTCACCTGCTGTGCACAAAACAATGAGTTCTTGGTCTCCTCTGGGGAATTCTCAGAGAAAAGCCTTTCAGCTCTTTACATCAAATGCTAGCTGATTTAGGAGGGAAAAAACAACCTGAAAGGCATTCATAACCTTTTTATGTTCTTCCAGTAAAGCAATAGGCCTCCATTTACTTCATTCTATCTTTAGTCTAACGTTGGCTTACATAAATATATAATCAGCCAGATTTCCTATGAAATGTGTTACATTTTTGGGATTAGAAGTAAAAAGAAAAAAAAATGTTGAGCAGCAAGACGCATTTACCACAGATATGTTGTGTTCTGTGCACTTCTAAAATTGGCTCAGCTATCACACACACGACCGAGAGCAGGCACTGAATGAGGTGGGTGTTTGATCACACTGCTGCTTTCATCTCATTCACAGTGATGACAGTCTCATAATAACATACATTTATAAAGCCAGTTCAGATTATGGCAGAGAGATTTCTGCAGCGCCTCGGGGTTTAACTCGAGGCAGAGGGGCTTTCGTCACGTCAGCGTGATGACTTCCACCGGGTCTGTCTTGCCTTTGGCCCTCTGCTTGCGCTTGAGCCGTCTATGCGAGAGCGGCGGAGAAGCTGGGGTGGCTAGAGGTGTTGCCGTGCCAACGGAGAGGGAGAGGAGGTCTGTGAATGGATATTTTGGGGTGGGGAGGTGGGACGGAAGCATTGCGGTGGACTCCCTCTCCGTCTCCTGGCGTCACCTGTCGAAGCAGCCGGCTGTGAAGGTGTGATGCGTGCCCAGGTAGCCCCCGCTGTAGGCCATGCTCAGGCAGTGTCGTGGTTCTCCAGTGAGGGCCATCTGCACAGAGATGGGGCTCTGAAGAGGCAGTGCACGGGCCCCGGGCTGGAGACCCGAGGTCAGGCCTGGGTAGGAGGGGAACGCTCCTCCTGCAGTTATGGAGGGCGCCCCCGTTAGCAAGCCCATCCTGTGGCTCTGAAGGAAATCCTGAGACATGTTCACCACGGGGCCCAAAGCCTGAGAGTCAGCAAGTGCTTGGAGCTGGGACAGAGAGGGGGAATGCTGAGAGAGGTGTGTGAAGCTGTCGGGCTGGAAAAGCAACTGTGGTGTGGAGGAGGTGGAGGAAGAGGAGGAGGAGGCCGGTCTCTGGATGGCAGATACCGGTGAGAGGTGGGAAGTCTGCGGCTGTGACTGCAGAGAGGAGGGCCGGTGGGGAGGGGTGGATTTGGTTTTATTGGCCTCCTTCACATCGTTGTCATGAGCCCTGTCATTAGCACAACAAACAGGAAAATAAGTTTCCGCTTAGAGAGTCTGTCAACGATTAAATGCAAGGAAATTCAAATTCATAAAAGTCTGTTTAACCTATCAAAAGCACATTAACAATTATTCATACGTATCATTATATATATATATATATATATATATAAATAATAGAGCAACACAAAGTGGTGCATGAAAGTGAATTGGATGCAAAATGATACGCAGGATATACACTTTTTCCCACCCAAATAAAAATCTGAAAACTAGAAAGATACAAGAGATGTTATACATCCAGTAGCCCATAAAACATCGACACAAAAAACCCATCCATGGATCCATTCAATGTTTGAATAAATTATGCTAAGTAGCCTATAAGAACATCAACACATAACCTGCACACATTCAATGTCAAAATAGATTTTAAAATCCTCTGTTAACCAGTAACTTAGTATAATAGCTTGGTTGAACGAATGAGTTCAACTGTGGTGTGTATTTGATTTCAACCCCTTTTACTCTGGTACAATAAATAAAATCTAATACACCAAATAACATCCTATTAGTGCAAACAGTATGTGATTTAATCTCAGTACAAATCCAACAGGTTCTCTGAAGACTTCAGTTTATAGAAAACAAAAAAAAAGAAAGAAAAGCCTCCACATAGCATAATGCTAACAAAAAGCATCATAAATACCAGCACACGGGTTAGGGATGTTGTGGAGAAGTTTAGCTTGGTTACAACACAACATTTCACTAAGCGCATTTTAGTTCAATATTTAAATATGGAAAGAGTGGCAGAACTGTAAAAGTAAAAATATTTGACCATCCACCCAAACTGACAGGCCAAGCAGGAACAGCAGCATTATTCAGAGGAGCAGCCAAGAGGCCCAGGATGACTCTGGAGGAGCTGCAGAGATCCACAGCTAAGGTGGGACAATCTGTAAACAGGAGAACTAATATCTATGATAATCTAACCTTTATCAAGGAGCACTAAGAGGAAGAATATCATTGTAAGAAAACTAGAAGTTTTGTTTGACGTTTTCCACAAGTCAGGTGGCGGAAATAACCAGGATGTGGATGAAGGACCTCTGGTATGATGAGACCAAACTGAACTTTTTGCTAACAAGCACACCACCCTAAACACACCATTCCCATAGTAAAACATACAGTGAGCATTATGCTATGTGGAGGCTTTTCTTCAGCACTGTCAGCAAAGAGTTGATGGATTCTCAATACAGGGTAGAGTTTATCTTCCAGCAGGACAAAAATCCTAGACGCGTAGTCTGAGCTACATGGGAAAGTTTAGGAATAAAGTATTTTAATGTGTTGCAATGGTCCAGTCAAAGTCCAGATCTAAGCTCCATTGTGTTCTGCTGCTGTTCAAAAACATTCTCCTTCCAATCTGACTGAGCTTGAGTTATTTTACAAAGAGAGACAGGAATTTCCATCTCCTTCAAATATCAGTGACAAAATGTGACAAAGTTCAAAGGGTAGGAGCATTTCTGCAGTGCTCTGTATTTACACAAATCTATTCAACTTGCTGAGAATTAGTTGTGCAACTTATTTTATCAAACTTTAAAACAAATCTGACACTGTGCTACAACTGGACATGTTCTCCTGGCTACACAAAGACAAATTTTAAATCAACACCTATGACAAAAGAAAATAAACAATCTCTCTCAACATGCTGTCACACGTCTGAAAATCAAATACTTTGTATTTGATTTTATTTTACTGATGTGTGTGCCTGTGTGTCTCTTACAGCAGCATTAGCTCAATGCACGGGGTGAGGTGTTCCCAGGAGTACCCGGTTAGCAGATGGAGAGAAGTTGTCCAGCTCGGGGAAATCTGAAGGCAAACGCGAGACGCTGCAACGCAGGCAGCAGCGACCTGAGAGGGTCGAAAATTCAGGAAGGCGTGATCTATAAGAAAAAAAAAAAAAAAAAAAAAAACTTTTAAATCAAGCTTCAAGAATCAGAAATTTAACTTTAAGAGATTTAACCCCTTTTCCTCTTGAACTCACCCTGCAGTGAAACCTCCAGGAAGTAGTGAGTGTATTTGTCCATAAAAGCTTTAGTCTTGGACATGGAGGACAGCGGCCAGCCGTTGTAGAGGTCGCCCTCCTGCACCGCGGCGTGGAGGTAGTAGTCGATAAAGTGTGCGGGCGTGGGCATGCACAGGTTCCAGCCGAAGGTCTCCAGCAGCAGCAGCTCCATTTTGATCAGATCCCTCTTGTCAAGAACGAGGTTTAGGCTGCACATAAACCCCAGAGAGTTCAGCTGCTCCAGCTTAGGGACCCGGTCCTCCTTCTCTTCAAATTTACCTGGAAAAACGAAAAAATAAAAACTGTCCATTCAACCACATACTATTCAACTCCTAAAAAAGCCATTTACGGATATTGGCTGCACTTGTTTTAAGCATTAAGAATAGAGTAGAAATTCTAAAGTTTTTTAGATGGTGGTTTTTAATCTCTTGAGCATCAGTGGAAAGAAAATCACTCAAAATTACAACAATGAAATGAATAAACACAAAATGATAAAGCAGAATAAAACAATAGTAAATGCAGGTCTCAAAAGAAAATTATTAAAATTTCAGATGAGCGCACATTTTGTCTTATTTTTCTTAATTCAAGAAATAAAGAAAAGACTTAGTAATTTAGTATTACTATTAGATCAGTACAACATTAGAAAATTATGAGGTGGCAATATTATGCTTACATAATGTGATGAAAATATTATTACAACCCTAACAACTCTGTCTTTGACCTTTAGCTTTCTGGGAATCAGCAGCTACATCTAGTCTGGGTATAAACAGCAGCACAACTCCATCCAGAAGCCTGGAGAAAATATTTGCCAAAAATAATCATGGAAAACCTCAGCCTTTAAATTAAAAAAAAAAAGAATGACAAAGAATTAGTTTCTATCCAGTGAGAAGATCTAACATTTTCTGCAGATCCTCACAGTCATAAGAGCAATGTCACTTTAGTCGGCCCCTCCCAATTTGAAGACGTACTCTTTTCCATAGCAACAGCCCCAAGGCCTCAGGGGTCCATGTGGCCAATGAAGAGGGTTGTTCCTGCCTTTAATCCAAAGCTCTGAGAGGCCTCCACTCCAAAAATTAGGAATGAGGGCGAGGAGGGTGTCAGGTTACTGTGATACAGCTCAGTATTCAAACCGCACACAGCTTCCAGTCAAGACTTTACACGAATCTGAGTAGAGCCTCAAAAATCAAAGTAAAACTTTCTCTCAAATGAACGTGGGAAATGTAAAGATTTTCTCATTTTTATTAAAAATGTGACGAAGACACAAAAACACTCTTATAAACACATTACTACTGATAATAACTACTCCAGAGAGTTTCTTATAAAGAGATTCACAATGTCTGACAAACACTATAAACGTTCTGGTTGCTGCTGATTACTATAATACAGTCAAATGCTTAGAGGTGTAAAGATTTGCAAAAGCCAATTACCGTTCTTAAGAGAACACGGAAATGGCCAAACTATACCCTCGCTACTTATACCGACAAAAATAAACACACTTATGTTGAAGCAAGCTGCTCAAGCGCCACTCCACGGATGCATTAAGAGGTAGTAGGTTTTATATGCGCCTGTAAGGATTAAAAAGTTGCGTTTCATGCTGGGAACAACAAAACCCTCTGTGGAGTTAATCTACAGATCTAAAACCATGGCAACCAAACACTGAAAATAGGGGTGTTTACTGACATTACTGAGCCACAGTTGTCTGACATGCTGTAGACCTCAATGATCCCTTTATCCCCATGTCTAGAGGAGAATCTTCCTACACAGTGTAAGTTTTATCACCAAAGTTGTGACCTATCATTAAACAGGGCAGGAGGGAGGACGCGTGAAGGCGGGGATCCGCAGCCCAACATGGAGGGAGGTGGGAGTAATGTGTAATTAGCAGAGAGGCAGTAATGGCGTTTCTCCAGCAGAACAGGAAGCACCAGAAACAGAGCTGTTTACAGCCACCAGGACTGGTTCCATGTCTCAGTGCACACTTGCCACATTCTCTCACCCTCATGTCCTTCAAATCAGGTCACCGTCTGCCGCTGGACGGCCATGTCCACAAAAACCAGCCGTAAAAAGCCATCAGCACCTCCGTCTATCGAGCCTCTTTGAAGTCGAGGGACATAATGCAACCGGTCTCCTTCATTGTGCTCACAGTTATGACTGGTTTATAGAACAACATGCAATTTAAATTCAAAGATTAATTTGATATATTGCACATCTGAAATTGGAACCGGAGATGCTCCAGCTGTGAGGAGCCAGTGTGGATCACTACACCATCCTAACACCTTACAATTCTTATTTTTATTTGAAAATATTTAACAGTTGATCCTCTTTTAAAAAACTATTAGCATTAGGGCTGCACAGATTACAGTTTTCTGGCCAGTCGCCAATTATGACCTGCCGATTCTGTTTTTGGCCGATACCAATTTTTTTTTATCTGAAATGTTGCTGAATAAGAAAGTCGCGAGTTGGTAGAGTTGGTATCAGTGGGATGATTATTTTGTTTGCGAACATGCAGACATGACCTGGTGGGTCAAGCCTCCCTAACAGAGCAATAGAGGACCGTCTCTGACTTTTAGATCTTTGCTGAGGCAGACAGGATCAGTGAATAATAACAGCTTGACATTTAAGTATCGGCTGACCACTGATTTCCCAAAATTAAGGAAATTGTCTGGCCGATTTATCAGTGCATCCCTAATTAGCATATATCAAACTGAATAACCTTGATCCAGAGTCAAATTAAGCTTAACCATCACAGGGAAATGTATTTCTAATTATACATACAGCACAGACAAATTTTTGTTTTTGGTGCACATAACAGTAAACACTACCAGTATTATGCCATTTAACAATATATCAAACATGACTTTGTGATGTGCGTTTTATTTCCATCACCCTTTAGCACTAAACCTAGCCCAGCAGAGCCCCCATTAGTTCTCTGTTGTCAGTCCCAATCCTGGAAGAGATGGTGCATTCTTCTCTTGTGAGTTCAACTCACCTGGAATGCAGGCAGCAAACTGATCCTATCTCATTCCAGCAAGCAGAAAAAGACAGGCGATCAGCAAAAAACCAAGTCCTTTTCATCTCTAGAAGCTACTTTGCCATAAGCAGCCAACACAAGTAATCCATCACTTGTCACATCACCTACAGGTGATGGGGACGGTGAGTCAACAGAGAGAGCTCAGAGGTTAAGGGTTAGGAAAAGGTAAGACCAGGATGCAGAGGCTTGTCCCAGGAGGGCTGCTTGGGGGAAAGGTCAAGGTGGAAATGGGCTGCAACTGATAAGAGTTTAATGGGAAACCTGAGAGATGCGTTCTCAGACAGGCTAGACTTTATACCGCCAAATGATCCCAAAATAGCTAATTAAAGTGTTTTAATACCAAGATAGTCTGGTGGACTCTGCTCAACAGACTAGAAAATTACAAAAAAAAAAAAAATCACACCTTCATTTACTTTCATATAGCAAACCAAAGCACCAGGAAAAAGAGATTCCCCAGCTGCAGCAGCTACTTGTTTGGAACAGCATCACCAACAGAAAGCAGACATTTGAGGTAGGGGCATGAAGAAGAAAAAGACGACAACCACTCTGTTCAGTCAGCTTGTTTGCAACAAAAACAATCAATAGAGCAACAGCAGATTAAAGCAGACCAAAGGTTTCTGTCTTTACTTTCATCATCTAATCTACTTGCTTTTTTCCACAAGCTGCTGCCTGATAAGCGAGGTTAGCAAGCTTGTTAGCCTGTCCATGTGATATTTGCAGCTGGTTCACTTCCTCTCTTTAGTTTGCTGGTTAGTCCGTTTGCATTTCAGCAGTTTGTGAATTGCAGCAGGGTTGATTTGGAAGCAAGCTCTCACCAAACAAAGCACTCTATCCAAGGAAACAAACTCTGCTTCATTTAAAGGAAACCAAACAGCTCCTGTGTGACAGTGTCTAGGCTTAAAAAAGACAAATGCAAACAAACATCAGCCTTTTTTAGGATAAAAAGCATCAGTAAATGTTGTTGTATTTGAACTAGCAGCTTTAAAAGAAAATAGTTGGAGAAATCTCAATTTGCTTTCTCATTTTTCACAGATTAAAAACTAATGGGCAACACTTTAGACACAGCATCAATGTTAATTTGCCCCCCCCAAAAAATGAACAAATATCTAGCAATGTACCAAAACTAAAAAACAAATGGAAATAAATAGAACACAATGTAGAAATATGTTATTTTATATTTTCTCGTTAATGCAGAAGAAGGTAAAGATAAATATCTCTGACATACCAAAATATCCGACAAACTGTTTCTTTAGATTTTCTTCCAATTTTACCGGGCTTGGATCACTTCTTCTTTTCCTCCTCAACCATTTTCATTGGTTGCTTTATCTTTCACTGTGAGTCTGTCACAGCTCCGTCACATAATCTCCTTGTTGCCACCCCTGGTCCTGGGGGCTCCGACAATGTAGACCCAAGCTGACCTCTGACCGAAAAAGCTGAATGCTTGGGTGACCATAGAGAATTGCGGAAACCTCTGTTCTATGCATATGTGTGTCACAGTGTTGGGTGGGATTCAATGAGCCGGGAACACCCTGAATCCAACTTGGCAGCGGCATTTACTATTCTACTTTATAAATCAGGATTGCAAGACAGCTCTTAAGGCGTTTTCACCCCAGATAGACCAGTAGACTTGGTTCAATGTGGGACTAAACTTGTAACATTTGTTACATTTTTAGTTGGTGCGGTTTGCTTTCACACTGCAGTGTGTGAAACGATCCAAACCCTTTGAAAACCCTGCATACCCCATCACCTGAACCAAGAACTAATGAAAGAAACGTCCTTCTTCACAAAATATAAACAAAAATTTAGTTGTTCTATAGTCTAGTAGTGGCAGAATTTATCTTTTGTCTTTAGCAAAAGACTGTGAGTCATTTGCCCTGCTGCTATTAGACACTCACGTTTGTTTTTGTTGTATTTACCCAGAGTGCCCTGCGCTACACACCGCTTCCCACTTTCAGTCTCCGGTCTGCTAGGCATTCACGTGTGAATTTGAACCACACTAAAGTTCACTTCAACTGAACCGAGACCTAGGTTTGTAGGCGGACCAGAGTTTGCTTTTGGTTCGCATCAGAGTTCAATTGCACATTCACACCTTCCCACACGAACCAGACTTTCTAGGCAAACTAACTAAACAGGACTGGTGTGAATGTACTCTAAATCAAGAGATTACACTTCATAGTATTTATCTTCTAATCAGTCTGCATATTATACAGTTTTTTTTTTTTTTTTAATGCAAGAGCCTGCATGTGAACAGCTTAGCGTTGAGAAGTGATCTCTCTGTTATTCTACATTTCAGGGCGCCCTGTTGGGTGGTTCAGTTCTAACATGTTCCACCTCCTCTCCCACCCGCTCTGCCTCCATATACCCTGCTTAACATCAGCAGCCATCCTACCTTTGAAGTGCCGCTCCGTTCACCTCCCACACCCCAGGGGCTGTGGGGTTACTTTTACAGGGCGCCCTGTCCCAGGACTGACTCTCAATGCCGGACCCTGACAAGGTGAGAGGAGCGAGGAGGAAGCAGAGCCGGGAGCAGAAACGTAAAACAAAACTGCTTTAAAATAGCCATTTGCCTCTTTGTGTTGGGGAAACTCAAATATTCTCTGTAGGTTTATCATGTAGTCGTCATGACGACCCACATCTTCTTATAGTTGCTTGGCTCTTGGTGAACCCTGCTCTATGCACATACACACAACAGCCTCCACGCCTCAGAGTGTGCTCCCCTTCCCCCCTCTGTGGGAAGGCTCTGGCGGGCCGGCCGGCTCGCATTGACTGGCTTTTGTTTGAGGCCTGACTCGGAGAGCATATGGCAGGTGCCCCTCAGCACACAGCCCGTCCCCACCCCCGGGCTCCGAGGCCCGTGCTCTCGCTCTCTGTGGTCAACATGAGTGAGCCTCATGTGCTCAGTCATTTCAGCAGGATGTTCTTTATTGTTCTTGTTGTTTTTACCCCCCCCCTCACCCCCACGATACAAGTGACTTAATCGCGTTTATTCAATGAAACGCATTAAAAATGCAATAAATCCAGACAAGATTATTTATCTGGCATGAATAGAAAATGACATGTTATAAGCTCAAAACAGAAAATACAACATTCTTGTTCTGGCTGACAAACACACATTAATGATGTCATCAATGTGAAACAAACAGCTGCAGTATGCAAAGCTGTTACTCCGTGGACTCAAACCTGCCAGCAAGACTGATGTGATCCCTGCAGGACTTCAGGGAATGTAGCACAAAGGAAACTTTGTGGTTCTGGGATGACGGGATCGGCCCAGGACTGCGGTTTTTCTGATTAATTGGGCTCTCAAAGCTAAGCGGCATCTCTAAATAAGTGGCTGACAGTCAATAACACTCAGTCCTAAAAGGGTTTTTAAAAATGGACCATAGTCTACCTCCTGCAAAAGGAAGAGAAGCTCATCTTTGGGCAAACACACACACACATACATACACACACTCACACACGGGCCTACAAAAAAACACATACAAAAGAGTAACAGGATTAGGCAGTGACTGCTGAGAGGCACAAAAGAGGTATAGATTAATTAACCAAGTGCAGAAGGCAGGAAAGTTAAAAGAAAGACAATTGTGCATGCAAAGGGAAGCAGTGAGACCCCGGCAGGTTGTTCAATAACTAGGCCAGATTCCAAAGCACCTCAAGACAGATAAAAACCTAAGTCAACTGTGAATCAAACAGCCTTTCAAGCCTTCATCAATCATGACAGAGACTCCCCCGAGTGCTGGAGGAGCACAGGAGAACAGAGAGCCACGGCAAATTAAAGCTATGATCAGAAGACTCAATACGAAATCAGATTAATCTATTAGAGATTCATAAAACAAAACTCCACTCGGGTCTGGATGTCACTTCCTTTACCTGACTAAGTGAACAAACTCTAAAATCTATTATTAGCCTCTCATGTGATTGTTTTTAAATAAAAAAATAAAAATAAAAAAACTCAAGTCTCACATCTCACCACAGATACTTGAGCCTGATTGAAGATGGTCTGTTTCAAATCCACTCGCACACACCAAGCCCTCCCAAGTGAACGAGCTCTTTTCCAGACTCCCATTCTGACAGCATCATTAGTCTAATTATCCATGATGCCAAGGGCTGCATTAATGCATGAAAAAGCTCACAGTCTGCTAATCACCAGACAGACATTGAGACAGGAATAACCACCAAGCAACCTGCACCGTGCAGCAGTGGGGGAAGAATGATTAACACACCTGCTTCAGCACAAAACAAAAAGAAACACCAAGATTTCACAGCAGAAGAGGCAAACTGGCAACCACTCGTGTTCAGAAATAAATTTAGCTCTAAAAGAGATTTGGCCAGAAAAACAATTGTAAAAAAAATCTAACTTGGTGAAAACTGATGTAAGCTACGAGTTTGCTCTCTCAAACGAAGGATTTTTCAGTTTTTATATTGAGTTTTGAGACAAAAATTTAATTTAAAAGTGCTTTATTTTTTCATCCTTTCCATAGACGGGTGATGCCTTTTCTATAAGCTGCCACAAGGGGGACATTAACACATACCAGGGTGATAAAGGTGTTACAGTAACACCTTCATCTTCTCTGTTTTACAATTTTGACGAATTAAATATGTTGTGGAACATATTGGATTAGGAAATAATGGAAATCCCTTAATGAATGTTGGAGTTGATTTAACTCTGCAAGAAATAAACTAAGACAAAAAAACTAAAGTACTATCAACTCTAATTATAGCTGTTTGCTGCAGAGCTGTGTAACAGACTCATCTGACCCACATAGTAAATGAGGTCACCCTCTAGTTTCTATACAAATACACAACAGGCTAATTGTTTTACAAGCAACATCAATACAAGCTAAATATTTCCTGTATTTGCTATTAGATGTACATTAATATTAACAGATCATCACAACAGAGGTGTTAACAGAAGACAGGGAGTGCTTAGTGTTAAGATTTGCAAGAGTCACAAATTTAGTGCAGAAATTAAAAAAGAAAATCACAGTTTGAAAGTTGCATGTATGCCATGTTGTTTTTAAACCAGTGAAAGTTACTTTGAAGAAACCAAAATCTATACCGAGCTATCTAATAATTAGTGCTGATAATATATGTATAGATAGATAAGTGACACTTAATTTAGTAATCAAGACTTTGTTTTGGTTCAAAGAATTTAAATGCAACTTGCTTCCAAACTTTTGGTCTGTAGTGTAAATAATAGAAAAATGTTTAGACTCAGTCTAAATACAATAAATCAATTCATGACATAACCTAACTTCAATATTAAATTATAATCTTGGTCTACGTGTAGATATTTGTGTCTCAGTATGGAGTATTTACTGTGTGTAAATATTCAACGACGAGAGAAAACTCAAACTTTCGGCAAAAAAAAAAAAAAAAAAATAAATTCATCTGAAACAATGCTACTTTAAGAAGAGTTTGATTTTCAGCTCATTCAATAGTTTTTTTTTTATACAGTAATAAATCATAATTTGCCACAAAAACCTCTCGCAGGTTCACCTCTAAAACCACCCTGGAAACATCTACCAATCCAAATCCACATTTAGATTTAAAAGTTGTCACGCAAACTTCAATCAAAATGGATACTCTTCTCTTTAACTCGCACTTCGGACTAGAAAGTGAAGCTGGGGTGAAAGAATACAATCTCTAGGGTGTTGCTTAAATTAACCATTTTTCAGGAAGTGCTTTATCTTGTGCCATGCTGCAGAAACCACAGAAGCTTTAGGACAGAGAGATCTACCTGAAGCTGTTGTTTGTTTAAAGAAAGGATTCTTTCCAAGATAATTTTACCTATATTCAAAAGCCATTGACAACAAACAAGATTATTTCATAAAGAAAAAACGCAAACCAAAATAAACCAAACATTTTTTTAAATGCAAGATTAATTCTCCTTTCTGAACTTACTAGCTAGCAGCAGACAAGAGAGGGCGATGATGTAGAGCTGTTTCACAGCGACATCGTAGTGGTCCATGAACAAGTCGAGCAGGTAGACGGCCAGGTGCCGTGCCGTGGGACACAGCTGGTACCGATTGCTCAGGATGGCCAACAAGTCTGCAAAGTAGCGTCGCATGCCGATCTGCGGAGAGTTGGCCCGGTAGACGGGCAACTTCAGCTCCTGGAGAGGGAAAAGAAAGATGAGCAGAGTTGAAAACGACAGGGGGTGATAAGAGCAGGGTGGGCAGGAAGCGGCGTTGGAGAAATGTGGGGGATGAGGATGGTATGCATGATAATAGTGATCCTTCACATCTCCAGTTGATGGGGTTTAACTGCTCACAAGTGACCTGAAAAGACTGATATATAGAGAAAGTTTCCACTTAAGAGAGCAAATTCTTCAGCATGATTCAGCCTTTAGCTCAGTTTTACTGAATTCACCGTTGTTGCAGAAAACTGAAGCTAATTTGGATCATTGCAGGGGGCTATGAACAATGAGCCGAGGGTTTGTAAGTGTGCAGTTTGAGGAGGGGAGGGTCTTCCTCCAGCAGAGTTCAGCAGCAGATAGGATTAGGTTTCACCCCTAACACATCTCCTATTCATGTTCAATTAGCTGCATGTGTTTCAAAGTGGAAAGAAGACACTCTGGGGTATTAGAATGGAATCGGCCGAGGGTATCTTTCTGAATCGGCTTCAAAAAACTAGAACGAGAAAAAAAAAAGGCTCTAGTTTTTGCTTCAGAAGCCAAAAACATTTAGAACAGCATGTACGCATTTACACAGCAGCGATTTTCTGGTTTTAAAACAAACATGTTGGAATATTTCTAAAAGTGTTGCGCGCTCTGGAAATAGAAGCCAGCACAAGATATAATGGATTGGATTAGAAAATGCCAACAGGTAAATTAGTCTACACAGTCCGTAAAAAGCACCAAAGCTAAAAGTGAAAGACAAAAATATTCCTTTTATCGTTATCGAGTTGCAATTTCTCAGCAAGCCGGTGATGTAAAACTTTCAAAATCTGTCTGCAGATTATCAGCAATGACTAATCTTAATGATTCATCTAAAATCCAGACAGCTTTTTTTTCCCTTGACCAGCAATTTCCATATCAATGTTTTTTTATTACTAAATACATAAAAACTAAAAACACAAGACTTTGCGTATGAATGCATCAACCTTTTGTTGAGTTTTAAACAGTAATTATCACACCTCAAGCAAAATCAACATGAACCAGCCTGGTCGGTTCGTCTGTATCTGGGTCATTGAAGGCAGAGGCCAGTAAAATGCGGGGCCATTAGACTCTAAAAGGTGGCTTTTCTTCCTATAATTACTCCAATGAATGCTGCGGGTTGGAAATACAAAAGCTCAGGAAACAGCTGGTAGATTTTTATATAGAGAAAATATCTGCTTGTTGGAGCTGATCCAAGTTTTCGGATAAGCTCTCAGGAAAACATGTTTACAGTCAATAGAATTTGCTGCGAGGGCAAAACTGCCAACATGGTCAGAGTTACACAAACTGTCAAGTACTTATTTTGAGCACAACTAAAACAAAAATCCTGTGATGCTCAGACTGACACTTCAATGGAATCCAAAAATAAACAGTCCCCCCCTCCTCCCCACATCAATGTATAGCAGCAGCAGCACCGCCCCCAGACCTTCAAACTCCCATATCAACCGATCCTCCCAAAATTCTCCTCCCCTCCCACTGCCTCTGGTCCATCTGTCTGTCTAGGGGTGCAAGGGCAGCAGGAGGAGGGGAGGGAGGGGGGCAGAGGGGAATGGAGTGGTTGGAGGGAGGAGGCTGCTGCAGTCTGGAGGGCTGGGGAGGTGGTGGCGGGGTCTGCATGGAGCAGAGAAGTGCCTTTGTGGGGGGAATCGCACCGTAATTAAGGATTCCACAGCTGCCTGCTGATTTGCATGTCTGATAATTTGCCACATGCTACACAGCACTGCTATCTCCCACATCAGGGCATTATCACTGCAGCAAACGTCGTTAAGGCTGGATGAGACGGTGGGGGTGCGGGCGCCGTGCAGGAGATCTGAGCGCCGTATGAGGCTCTGATAATGATTCCACCATTCTCTCCCACTACACTTTGGATATAAAATTATTGGATATAAAATATCCAACAATTTCTACTCATCGCGAGGTGGGGTTTTTTTTTTTAAAGCCTTAACATTTATTAGGGTTAAAATACAATTAATTCTAAAAAAAAAAAATGCATTTGTTGCTTAAATAAAACTCCTTTAATGAAACTGATAGGTGGAAATGTTTAAAATGAATAACATTAGCGTTTTCTATTGACTGTAGCTTCAGTATCATTTCAGTAATAAGCAAACTTGTTTTGCAGTAAATCCTCTAAAATCTTAAAACATTTTACACATGCTATTTCTGTGTGTAATAGCATGTGTAATAAACTTTCAATGTCATCCCATTTGTGCTCTGTCACTGCCTAAGAACGTCCAACAGGTTATGAATGCTACTTTATCTGATTTCTCTCATGTGGTGGAACAGCAAAACACGTCAACTCAATTGCCAAAACTAAAAGAGATCAACGGATAAACCTTTCAGAAAATACTCCAACTCCTTCAGTGCTTCAAGGCATCATACACTGCTAAATCAAAAGGTATTTGTACCTCGGGAAAATCCCTGTACGGAGAATCCTTACTGCTGAGTGAAACGCAAACTGCTCTGTAATGATGTATTCACAGGTTATGTGTCACACTTTGCTTGATCCTCAGTTTACAACAAAGGTATTATACTACAAGGTACACCACAGCGTACTGAGACGATTGTTTAAGATGCAATCGGAAATGTAGACATAGGGCAACCAAGCCCGAGCCGAAGGCTGACAGTAACGCTCTCTCATTATAGTAAATGGAAAAAATGTGGGTGTTCGGCCTGTTTCCACATCGGTGCAGATTCTCGCTCTCATGCTGGGTTTTTCTGAGTCAGATAATGTCCAGCTTGAGAAAGGTGAGTCAAACATTACCTAAAAGTGACTCAGAAACATCTGGTTAGGAATCCAAAATGCCACAGAGTTCACTCGACTCATGAATGCAGTTAAAGGCAGATGAAGACACCTGATCCCATTGTATCTTCACCACCACAGGGGTCCTGAGCTGAAAAATACCAGTCAAGTCACAAATGTCTCAATTAAAGTGACACACAGAAGGAGAGGCATGATGGTGCCTCGAGGATAATTAACACATTCTTAATTAGTGAACCTTAATTTGTGAATGCAGTTAAATTTAACTCAAGATTAAAAAGGCAACAGAGCTATAAATAGTTTTTGTATTCTATGTATACTTTGAAGAATATCAACAACTTCTTCAGTTCTTATGAGACTCTCTGATAAAACATGTAATATTTAGTTTTTAAAAAGCTGCTACTATAATAATATGCCAACAGCAACAATTATTTTTCAGAAAGTTTAGAGTTGCCCAAGCAGCAACATCAAACTAAAATCTTTACCAACATCAGGTATGTAATTGCTAGGTGATTAAACTAATGACTGCACCATTCTCTCAAAAACACCTTCTTAGTTGTCATTGTAAGCAACATTTCAGGAATTGCTGATGGTAATGTAAATATACTTAGAATATCTTTTATTATTAATTTTCCTTGGATTTCGGTTAGCAACATAGCAAGGACTTCTGCTCTGCCAAACCCAAGGCTTATGTACCTGAAGACAAGGAGTCTATTTTTTATGAGACAAATACTTAGATAATCTTTTGAAGCAGTTGTATGATTAAAAACAGTCAGATTTGATATGTGAACACGTGTTTAATTAGACTGCATAAGGTCCAGAGTCCATCATATTGTTTACTTAAAAAAAAAGAGCAAAATAAAAGTCTTCTGCAGTACTATTTAAGTGAGAAAATGTTAATTTATATGAGGTTATATCATTTATTCTAATCCCTATAAAGCGGAAATGATTTATCAAAGACTTCAGATATATATATATATATATATATATATATATATATATATATATATATATATTTTTTTTTTTTTTTTTTTTGTGTTTTTGGAAATGTCCTTGGACACTAAAAAAACTAGTTAGTTTGAAAAGCAATTTTACTGGTTTTTCACATGATTATTTTTTTCCCCCCTACAATTCTTTTGAAAATGTTTCTACATTCATAACACAGCACAGCTTCCCTTCATCTTTGTTGCGGATGAGAGAAAACCACATTTTGAAATATTTTTACGAGAACTTTTCAAAAAGATTCTATAAAATCAAGGCTGTCCACACATGTAACAAGAAAAACGTCCTTACTTCAAGCTAAAAGGGAGTAGTTACAGATACGTCACCATCAATGAGTCTGCTGCCGACATTTTTGTTCCGGTTGCTGGATTTTTTGAGTTTGCCACTGGCTGCACCATCCCATTAAACACTACTCATTCACAATTATGCCAAAAATTAACAGGCCGGTATCCACGTCAAATGAGAAGTGAATTTTTGACCCTTTTTCCAAACACATTAGTAAATGTCAAGATCCTTAATTTTCAAAATATTTACAGAGCTTTTAGGTTTATTTCAAATTTTTACCACAAGGTCTTTCAATCCACAATGTTCTCCACTGCTGTTTTTATTGTTAAAAATATATTCCAGCCAATTAATCAAATATTCTCTGAATGTTTCATGGCAATACCTTAAATACTGTAAAGGTTAAGCTAATTTTTTTTGATAAATATGTTCATTCCAATCAACTTTTCACAGATTTCAATTTGAATTGAGAGACTTGAATTACAATAGAATTTTAGATGATAAAATGCTTAACCCTCTAAAAGTTTAAACCTACATACATGATTTTAAATCATTTGAAATGCATGCTCTTCCTGATGAAACCTTTTAGAAAATTTGACCAACAAATAAATTTTAGAGGCTAACTCACCTTAATGCGTAAGGACTGATGGATGTCTGAAGCTAGCTGTCCTTTCCACCACTGCAGCTCCCTCTCCATCCTTCCCATTCAGAGGAGGCGTCCACAATCAAGTTTTACCTGCTGAGACGAATGTTTCCAAAACGGGACATATTTAAGATATCTCAAAGAGCACATTTATGTGATTATGGCTTTAACATTTACAGATTTAATAGAGCTTTACATGAATTATACTTGACAGAAGGACAAGTTGAAGTTCCTCTGTAAATGTTTTAATTACAGAACAATCAATGGTTAATTTGCCCAGACTTGTGATTAAATGTGTTAATTGTATGTGTTTGGAAAAATACCTCAGCTTGGACAACGTTGTAGCTAATTAAACCACAGTAATCCGTTTGCTAACACAGGCCATCTTCTCTGCTCGGGAATTTAAATGGCTCATTTAAATGCCCGCTCAGCCACGCTGCAGGTCACATTTTTCACAAAATCTTTCGGATATCTGTCTTTTGGCAAGTTCTTATACAAGTCAGAAAATAAGTAAGAAATTCAACAAATTAGTCACTAAAACATCACCACGACGGGAGACCAACATGCCTATCGAGCTCTGATATTCTCCACTCGTTTGAAACAAAAACAGAACATGAACACTAAAAACTGACGCTTCATCTCAAACTAACGTCGCTTTTCCTATAAAACAATAATATAGCTAACTTTTCATAGCAGTGGTTAATACATGTGCCACTCACCGCTCCGTTGGGAATGCCCCCCAGACCCTCTTTGTCTCAGTCCGACATCCTGAATGAGAGAACTCCTCCGCGGCTCAACTTTTAAACAGACCTCTCTCTGACGCCGAAAACAAAAACTTCAAATGCGCTGGAGAGCTCATCAAACAGCCGCCACCGAGAAAAATCCCACCGAAGGCCCTTCGGTTTAACCACTTTTCCCCCAACAGTTCACACTTTTTCCAGCCACAATCAGCTCCGCCGTTTTCTCTCCGGTGCCTCGGCTCTAACAAAGTAGCCTCTTCGGCTGCGCCAGCTGCTGCTGCTGGGCTCGTGCGCCTCACGCTTGGTCCCTCCTACACATAAGCATGGGAGTTGTAGTTTTTACCAGGTCACTATAAAAACTACAACTAGCAAAATTTGCTACAATCCAATGAAAATGATAGCTACTTGTTTACAAATATAAATGTGTGACGATTTTAGTAAAACTCTAAGAAGTATCCAAAAACACAAAATTATCCACAATTATGCAAATATGAAAACATACTAAATGCATAATGAAATCTCGAAATAATCACTTTAGTTGGAATTAATTGTAAGGTAAAATCGTAGATTATTTATATCATGATCAATGCGCTACAAGAAAGAGGTCCTAAAGTGCACAAGCTCAAGAAATAAATAGCAAAAATAAAAATTAAAAATATTAATATCTAATGACTCCTTAAAATAAAATAAAATAAAAAATAAATAAATAAATAATAAACAAGTACAAAATGTGTAAGTATTACATTAAAATAATAATGATTTAATTATTATTTTTTACTAGATCTATAAATTATGAAAAATAATAATCCCTTCTTATATATTTATTTTATGCTTTTGATCTACAATATATACTAAAAATGTGTCAATGAATACTTAATTAATTATATATTTCAGAAAGTATTAAGCATTGAACTTATACAACATGAAACTTTGTCATAAATATTTTGGATTTTATTCATACACTAAACTTCAGCTTCCTTATATTTCAAGCATTGATCTTTTATTATTATTATTATTATTGAAATAAAACTATTTACACTAACCATCAAGAATGCACAGTTCTGTAAAAATGGAAATTGACTAATTACAGAGGCTTCTTCCATCATAAGAGCAAAACAAAAGTGATCAATCCGCCCAGACACCGCTGGTAAATATTTAAAGCAAGTTGGACACATTACTACTGCAGTCACAAAACCTTTTTAGTTCGAGTCTTTTTCATGATTTATTTTCTTTACTTTTGCGCCCCCTTGTGTCAACACGTTTTCAGCAAGTCCAGGCTGCATTGTTCGGATTTGATCTGTAATAAATCAGATGATTGGATTCATTCGGGATTATAATGTCAACTGTCATCCTCACTATTTGCCTTTTTATCCGCCTCATTGAGAAACTCCTGATCAGCGTAAATGAGAAACCCAGTGAAGGTGCTGTCTGTCCAGAAGGGGTCGAAGAAGAGTCCATTCTGCTCTGAGTAGAAGATCTGCAGCCACACCTGATCTGACTGCTTCAGGTTGAGAACAGTGGAGCCAGATGCCACATCATGGTTCCCCGTGTTGGCATCAAAAGTCTTGATCTTGTATTGACCGTTATGCACCAGTCCTATAGCCAAGTGCTTATTGGCCAGTGTTATATCATAGGTGAAATAATAGACTCCAGGGATCTGACAGACAAACTTCCCGCTGCTGGCATTGTAGTGATTCCCTTCATTAAGCAAAATCCGGCTGAAATTGATCGGCATTCGTTCTTTTGGATAACTCTTTGTTACGGCCACAGAAAAGGCTGACCGAGCCGCAGTGCCACAGTTACAACCACCGGGAGGTCCTTCCTGGCCCCTGTCACCCAGCTCCCCTTTCTTCCCTTGTTTTCCAGCCACACCTGGTGATCCACGCAGCCCCTTTGCTCCCCGAGGTCCTGCTTTACCAATAACACCTTCACGGCCTTTCACCCCGGGCTTCCCAGGGTTCCCAGGTCTACCTGGATCACCTGACGACAGACACAGAAAAACAAAACATAGTGACATAACGATGCAACGTCCACTAGGACTGGAAAGGATACAAAGGGACAAATTTATGCAAATCTGAGTTTTGTTTCTGATCTGATTGGATTTCCAAAACCCTCAAAGTTTGAGTTTCCCCCTTTCAATTCTCAACTAACATTTATTCTTAATTACAGAACCTTATAGAAATGCTCCAGTCCCCTATAATCATTTCACACTGTCACAGTACAACCGCACACTTCAAACACTTCAACATGATTTATTGGGATTTTATGAGATACACCATCACTAATTAGTACCTTCTGTAGAAGAGAAAGAAAAACAATACATGGACATTTTTCTACTGTATTCAGCACCAGAGTCAAACCTTTGAGGAGCCTTGGGTCTTTGAGTATGTCTATGTCAGCTTTGCACATTTGGAAACTGATATTTTGCCCACTTTTCCCCACCTTAGCCCAAGCTCAGTCATTTAGATCTGAACTTGGACTGAGCCATTCATGAACATGTTGTAATCTTAACCCTACCACTGGAGTAAGTTGTTGTCATCTTTCTGAAAATGGTTTGTAGGTTATGGCCTTAAATCATAAGTGTCCAGCTCCAGTCCTCAAGGCACAGTGTCCTGCCAGTATTAGATAGGTTTCTATTCTAATACAGCTGATTCAATTGGTCCAACTAACTCCTCAGCATGTTAAAGTTCGGAAGCTTGCTAACAAATCATCGTTTGATTCAGATGTGTTGAACCTAGGAAGGAACTAAGAAATGGCGAACACCATTTCCTTCACGACTGAATTTGAACACCTCTGCCCTAAATAAACATCAGAACTGGTTCTGGAATGAATAAAGCAATATGACATTAAACATCTGAAATTACTGTGACTGAAATGCTGTTGAAAGTGCATTTTCTTTGAATAAAAAACCAAGCGAAGCTTGTTGATGACCCCAAAAAGTGTGGTTGAAGCGAGACTTGCTAAGAGATATTAAACCAAATATTAGTTAGGGTGCATATACATATCAAATCTCTGAGAGTTGCTGGATCAAGATGTAGTAAACACTTCACTGAATTATTCTTACATTATTGAGTTGATTAACTGTAAAAGATTAGCACAGTTATACAAAAAGTACCTCCGTTTCCCTTTTCTCCCTTTTCTCCATCTTTTCCATCTGGACCATCCAACCCTGGCGGACCCATAGGGCCCATGGACCCTGGGGTTCCAGGAGCTCCCGGGAATCCCGGGGGCCCTGCTGGGCCAGGCAGACTGCAAACCAGCTGAGAGGAATGGATGGGGAAATTACGACCTCTCTTTGATGAGGAATTTGTTGACTGAGAGAAGACGGCTGAGAGCAAACAGATGATCACACACATCTGGAGCATAATGGGCACTGCAGAGGCACAACAAGATGAGGGACAGGAACCATTAAAGCCATTAAATTTGATTTGGGTTTTGAGGGCTAGGAAAAAACATGGAAATAACAAGATGTTCCTGGAGAGGAAAGCAATAACAGAGCCTATGCATGCACACCTATTCAAAGCAATAAAACTTTCACTTAAAAGGTGTGGTTGCTTTTAAGGCTTTACCCAGTCCTTTTGTGGAAAAATACGAGTCTATTATTTAAAGGCTAAGTAGAAGTCAGCTTTTGTTTCCAACATGTTCAACAAATGGAGCATGTAAGAAGTTCTATAAAGACAAAGAAACGACTTACCACTTGAGAAATCATGTCCTCGGGTCATTATTCAGCTCTGCCTCTCCTTTTAAGGTTCAGCAGTGATCCTTCATGAATGTTCAGTGAACTAGAGATTTAATATTCTTCAAGAGAAGCTCTGCAGAAAGCAGTTCAACCCAGAGAACCAGAGTCCAAAACATCCACCCTGTTTATGCAACAGCTGGGCCCAGAAAATATTTCCGGCATGATGTCATTCAATTCAAGACAGCTCACAAGAATTAGACGGCAACAGCAATGACAACTCTGGCTCACCCGCTCTCACTGTGAGAAAATTATCTATGCAATGCTAACTGAACAAGAGAGTCCGCAGAACAGGGGTTTATCTCATGAAAGAACAAGAAATGAATAAAACTTTTACGAGTCTGGAGTTCCGCAGGGCTGTGAGCTCTATAATTTAAAAATATTACATTTACATTTAGATGTCTTCCATTGAGATTTGTCTTGAGGACAGCGGTCCTTCATCTTGGTGATCCTAAAATTATTCAACCTCCACTGAAGATAAAGTTTAATTGCAAAATTTAAAAGAAAATTGTTTGCTTAATAAACACACAAAACAGTTTCATTGGCTATAACTAATGTCACATGGAAATTTTGTGCAGTTGCCATTTTCAATGACAACAGCAGCCTCAAGATTATTCAGCCGTCATAAAAACAAACATTTGCAAATCAGGTGTGGTTGCAGGTACTGCTGATCAAATCAACCAATGGCTTTAACAGATGAAACCAAACAAGCTAAAGATGCCTGCTGCTTGATTCTTGAAGTTGCCAAAAACCCTCAATTGACTGGAAATGACCTTCGGTTTGTACAGCAAGGTACATACTAAATGCTGAAGGGTTGTACGTTTGAACTCAAAGGCGTACGTCACTACTGTCCCAAAAGTCCAGGAGCCATCAGGCCCTCTATGCTAAAAAAAGTATAAATAACACAAAGAGGTTTTGGGATTCTGACACATTCAAAACTGGAATGTGTCAGACCTTCAAATTAGCAGCATGTCTGCAGGAAGAAGAATGAAGCATACACTGAAAAGAAAAAGGGACGACAAAGTGTGCTGTGTGTAGTTGGAAAGATGAATTCATGGAAATCCTGGGAAAAACGGGAACATAGTCTGTAGGGAACTCAACCCCAGATATCACTGAATCCCGGGACTATCTGAAAGTCTACCAAGAATTGGTTTTAAACACATACTGGAATATAGTAAAGTGATAATTGATTAACTCTATTGAAGGGCTAAATTAAAGGAATGCTGCCAGGCAGTGCCTGGCTTACATATCATATCTGCAGGACATTATAAATCCAAAGAGTTGTGAGATAATTAGTAAAGACGTATGTCGGATTATTTTGACTAATTGTGAAAAAGCAGTTCCAACACTGGTTGCTATTTTCTTATTGTAAATAGCTGAAATTGAATATTTTAGCAAATCACATTTACAGTGGGAGTTGAATAATTTTAGAAACATCTGTAGGTTTTTTTTTTTTTTTTTGGTTTAATTTTCAGAAACAAATGACACACTATTTTTATTCCTGTGTTTTATAGATTGGGCCATTATAAAAAAAAAATGTTCTGATGTTAAGTTTCCAAAGACACTAAAACCTCAACGACAAATTTCATTCATTCAACAAAACAAAACCAGAAGAGCTTACAGTGAAATTTGAAGTACACCCTCTCCCAGGGAAACTCCATTAATCAAGATTACCTTGAACTCACCTGTATTGCATAAAGTCAAATCTTGCCCACAGATAAAAGATTTGAAAAAACTGGATTATGAAACAGGACAATAATCCCATCGACATCAGTGATCTTATCCACCCATCACCGTTTTCTGTTAATGACCAATTTATTGAATTCAGGTGCCTCCAAGCAGGGAAACATCTGAAACCAGCACAGATGGGCTGGAACTGTCCACACCTGCTTTAGAGCCTGCTGAACCATGGAGCGCACTTTATTTTTATCTGGGCTTAATTTTAGCTTAATAAAGACAATGTGGAAGCTGTTCAGCATTTTTAAACATTTGAAGTTAGATTTAGATTATTTCAGAAGCGTCAAAAGACAATATTTTATTACATCCTGAACTGCTAAACGTTAGTTATTTTACTTTAACTTACAAAATTGTTGTAACAAAACCCCGGGAGAGAAGATCTGACATACGAGTACACGTGTAATATTCTTATACTGTGCATGTAGCGATGCACCTCTAGATGACTTTGACAAACTGCTTTTTCTAAAACCATCAAAATCAAAATGAAAACACTTGAAGTGCAATAGACAAATCCACACAATCCAGTTTGTTTAATTTCTTTTTAAAATCAAAATTTTACCTTTTAGATAATTTTTTTTTAGAAGTTGAACATAAGCAGAATGCAATGTTTCCAGACAACACAGATTCAGAAAAAAAAAAACTCTTTATAGTGAAATGCAGAGATTACTGTTGTGAAACGAAATTCTCCAATTTGTTGTAAAGTCCAGAAAAGTGACTCAATTGGGAAGTGAGAGAAAAAAAAAACACAAGAGGGCTTGAAAACAAATATCAACCATCGGGCGAAAAATAAAATTGATGTTTGTAAGAAAAGTATACGGATAAAAGCTGTCAAATACTGTACAGGGCTTCTTGAGCGTTTAGGATCCAACCGTGCTGAAGTCCTTCCAGAACAGTTGGAAAAATTAACAGGGATTAGGATAAGGTCACTGTCCCAGGAAGGAAGCCATGGGGTCATCTGGCCGGCTGCGTTTCATGCGGAACGCCTCCATCTCCTCCTCAGTCGGCGCCTTCACTTCCTGCAGGCTGTAGTAGGGCCTCTTCCTCTCATCCATCTGCATCAACGCGTCAATGTGCTTCACTCGCTTGTCCTCCGCTTCCAGGGCCTGAGGGACATTTGAGAAGCTGAGCTTAGTCACAGATAAAAAAAAAAAAAAAAGGCCAAATCATGAACACCAAAAACCTTTCACCAACAACAAACCTTCTTCAGTTTCTCCTTCTTCTTTTCTTCATCCTCTGAGTCGCTGCTGTCTGAGCTGTGCTTCTTGTTCTTTTTGTTCTTCTTTTTCTTCTTCTTCTCCTTCAACTTCTCTTGATGAATCTGGCAATAAATAAATAACTTTGGCGTTAGAAGGAAAAGTCCAGCACGACGCAGAATGAGTGACTATATGTATGCCATCACCAATGCTAAATCTTAAATCCTTACTTCCAGTAAAGACTTTGGCTCTTCTTCTTCTTCTTGGGGCTCCTGCAGTCCGTCTTCAAATGGAACGCAGTCAGAAGTACCTTGCTGTTTAAAAACAGAAAAAAAAAAAACACTGTATAAGACTTACCAGTAACAGGCTTTACACACGATATATATTTACACAAAAGAATAGTACATGTATTGGTGAACTACTGAAATGAAACAAGTGTTTTGCACCATTAGTTACCGTTTGAATTCCTGCTTGTCCCGTGCAGTAACTCTGTTTGACCAGTGAGTGGCAACACTTGTATCCCCAGCAGCCATCCTTCCAGTAGGAGCCCCATATACACTATACAAAAAAATATATATAACGCAAACAAATGTTGAAAAACAATGTAATAAAAACAAACAAAACAAACAAACAAAAAAGCAGCACAGCTTTAAAAGCAGCCATTTGTCCATCGTCCTCACGGTGTGGTTGTTGATGAGGACGTCCTCCTCGTATTTGGAGCGGGCGACGGCCTTCTCTAGTCCCTTCAGCACGGCGCCGTGGCGGGAGTACTCCACGTAGTCCTCAGTCTGCGCCAAGAGCAGCTCCCGCGGCGGTGCGTCCAAGTGCTCCTGACCTCCGTACTAACGAGGCAATGAAAAAGCAGGAGTGACAAAATTTTCATTTTAGTTCACATGTTTTAAAATAAATCTATGAATAAATTAAATACCATTTCAAGGTTGTTGTTTTTTTTATTTTTTATTTTATTTCATTTGCTTTGAAAAGTTGTGGCACTAGTGGTATTTTTTTTAGTGAGTAGCTTCACAAGAAGAACAGAAGACATTCACTAGATTGGACGGCGGCCCTGAGGACTGTAGCCTCATTCATGTATGGTGTGCCTGCTAAACCACACAGGCCTTTAAAGTGAACTTCAGCTTCATTTGTACAGAAAAACTGAAGATTAAAAACATTCTGATAACTAAGCGTACCTTCTCCAGGATGCCTTCTCTCTGTTTCTCTTTAAAGTCCTCCTTTTTGACCTTGAAGGAGCGATGGAGCAGCTCCAGCTTGGTGGGGTCAGCCTGAAGATGGACCTCGGAGCCTCTCTCGTATGCCTCCCAAGCAAACACTGTCGCAACAGAGCAACAATCCTTACAGGAATCAGAAAACATGAAGCATGTTTCCTCAAAGTGACTGGAAACTATCCAGCTGTGAATCACAACCAGCCTTCATCTGAAGCCGGCCTCATGGATTGAGGAATAGATTGGTCATCAAACGTGTACTAAATGCGAGCCGACTCTCTTCTTTATAAGTTATTAACTTCTTCTGCCAAATTCCCACTGAGGTGATTAGTAATATTTAAAGTACCAGGCGCCGTTTTACAGCCATCTAGTTTAAAAGGTGCTCAGAGTGAAAACTTACGCTGCGTTTGAGCCATGGAGATTGTGTCTCCAGAGTAGCGAGCAAAGTTGTCTCCAGCGTAGCCCACCCTGTAGGACAGAGCAGTTTGAAACTGTTTTAGCATAAGCTTGTGAAAGGTATTCAGGAAATAGAAACCAACAACTTACTCATCAGGATTCATGCCGGTGTTGGAGTACGGATTCTCTCTCATCGCTCGAGTCTTCGGATCGTAATACGCTGAATTTGGATCCAGATTTCTCAAGTACTGCAAGACAGAAACGCAAAGTTCAGCTGATCGAAATCCTGAGTTTGTCACAGACCTGAACCTGTAGCTTTATTGCCCCCATCTCTTCAACGGTGGGCATTAGAAGCAAACAGGTGTCTCATCTCGAGTCTTCATCTCATCACTATTAGCTCCTCTGGCTCTTACTTTAGCCGTGTCCTCTCGGATGCGCAGGTTCCTCACGGTGATGCGTCTCTTCGAGTCAAAGTTCTGACCCGGCATGTCGATGTCGTCTGCATATTTGTCCTCATCCTCGTCTTCGCTGTCATATTCTCGCTCCTGTGCAGGGAACATGATGCCCGTTTGAAAAGCTTCATGATTAACAAAAGAAGAAAAACAACAACAAAAAAAGTTGTCTGTGAACCGACAGATCACTTACGTTTTGGTCCAATTTCCCAGAAGCCAACTCATCCTGAAGTTTCTGAGCCTTCAACGTCCGCTTAGCCTAACAACACAAAAAAAATTAAATAAATAAATAAATAAAAATAAAAACAAACAATTGTGAATACCACAGAGGGGGGAAAATACTGATTTGCTGTTGGATAAAACAGCAAACTTATAATGTGACAAATGACGATATGTCTTCTGTTAAAAGAAGACATATGTCTTCAAACAAAGCCAGCATAAACTAGATTTGACAGATGTGGTCCAATCTGACCACATCTGTCAGATTTGACAGATTCTGGTGCCTTGTTGCTGTTGAAAGAAACAAAGTTAACCACAACAGACATGTGAAAGAAGGACCTCTGGTATAAACTAACACAGAACATCATACTCGGCACAAAATATCTGCTGTGAAACGTGATGATAACAACAACAACAACAAAAAAACGTGAATCACATTACTAATTATTACTTAGGTGTATGAAGGTATATAAATATTTAAAGTTAATATTCCTTCCAACGCAATCTTTAAAAGGCAAACAAAGTATCTCCTTTCTCTCAAAAGCAGAAGTAAGCTTGCATTAAAAAAAAATAAATAAATAAATAAAAGTTTTTTTTACTCATGCACTCCTTACCAAATCTACTTTAGCATACTCCTCCACAATGCGCTGATGCTCCTCTGGGTCATACCCATTCCAGCGATCCCGCTTTCCGTCGTAGTCCATGTCGAGCTGGACCTGAGAGTGCTCATCTGGAGCTATCCCGGTTCCTGTGTACTTGGCTCCAACCTTTCTGGGCCGCTGAGGGAACACAAATGACATTTAGACCTTGGTTTAAAAAAAGAGGGGGATATTTTTTTTTTTTACTTTAGGGAGAAACAATCCAAAAGAAGCCTTTATTTGTTGATATTTTTTTACCTCCATACAGTCCTTCTTCTTGTGTGTTAAAGCCCCACAGTTTTCGCAAGCGCCTTTGCGGTATTTAGTGGTAATAGCATTCTGTGTGAAGCCAAAAGATAGATAAATACATTAAATCTAACTTGTTAAGATTTGTTCAAATCGAATCAACAACAGTATCCGATTCATGCTGACCTCCTGCACTCCTCTTTTGTACCACTCTCCAATGGCTGAGAACTGCTTCTGGTTTTCATCCTGTGGTCGCTGATGCTTTAGTGTGGGTCTCTTGGATGGGTCGATGTACCACGGCACTGATGAAATGTACTGAGGGATGTGAGGGTTTATGTCCCTGGTGGAGAGAAGAAGTGCCCACAGTTAATAACAACAGAATTCATCCAAAAGCATCTTTAAAAACAACTGAGGTCCCTTTCCAAATGAAGGCAGAAAATCTAAATAAGTCAGAAAGCATAAAAAAACAACAGTAGAGGAATCAGAGCCAAAAACCAAACTTCCTTTGCAATTTAAAACTGATTTGTTTTCAAAGCCTGTAACAAGTCAATAAGAGAGTTAATGTTGTGGATATTTGAGTTTTATCAATGTTAATTCTAGGAGGAGCGCTAACAGGTCCAGAATCAGTAGCTGTAAGGAAATCAGTTTAAAGTTTAACTATTGCTGTAAAAGGGTTGGAAACAAGACTGGAATATTTAGCAATTATTGTTAAACAAGGGACTAATTCTGACCCATTTGTCCTGCCTTCTCAATTTGTCCTTTAAAATCACTCAAACCCTTAAACTTGCTCATTTCCCTGCTTTTAACTCTTGAGTTTACTTGCTATTTAATATGTCCTAGTCAGTAACAACTGCCATAATACAGAAACAATCGATGTTAATCACGTCACCCATCAGTGTACATCCAGGTGTACTTACTTTCCCTCTTCGTCCACCTCAGCTGGAGCATTTCCCAGCTTCCTCTGCTCCTCCAACTCCTTCTTCTTCCTCCAGTCCTCTCTGGTCATCTTCTTGGGCTCATCCAGACCCACGATCCCCTCCGAACTGACACTGGTTTGCTCGGTCATGGTTGGATCTCTTCCTACACACTAAACAGACCAATTAGTCCTCCAGAATGTGTCCCGTTTGATCCATAACTCTTGTTGGAACAGACTGTGAATTTCACTTGTTTAAAGTGGCGCAGCCAAAAGCAGAGCACGTAGCTCGACGAGATGCTTACGACTTAATGCGACATAAATATTCACTGAAAGTCTTATGATGAGAGGAAGTTGTTACGTACCTTGTTCAGAATAAAAATATTGTAACAGATGATGTTTATCTCGTATTTCACCTCTTTTAAAAGCCTGTTACTATGTTTTGGTCAAAACGCCATCGCCGCCATGTTGTTCTTTTCTTCGTGTGGCAATAATTGGCTCATTATCGCCACCACCTGGCGTGGACTCGCTACTTCTTCTTCTTCTTGTCGGTTTTACTGGCGGTTGGCCCTCGCTACTTCACAAACTTGCTTCCAGAAAATGCAAAACATGCTTCTTGAAAACAGTTTATTCTGAATTTGATGAGTAATTGTTGCTCTGATATTAACTGATGTGACTGAGAAGAGTTTGGGAAAAATATTGCAGGATGTAATCTGACATAAATTGATATTTGTGTCTTGTTGCATTAATTATATTATTCTAATTAAAAGCATCATCTCATTTTTTTGTCTTGGGTTATTTTTTGTATATTTACTATACTGTTTTTCCTTTAACTTTTCCTTCAAGTTATCTAATATGTTGTTCTTCTCAGCCCCTTTTGTAATCAAATGACATTACTGGTTCATATTTCCAGTTTTAATTGGGATGAATATAAGACCCATTCAGGTCAAACAGGATGACTTCCCTTATAAAAAAAGCTAATATTTTTAAGTTTTAAGCACTGAGGCCTCTGCAGTCTCTTGCTGCATCGAATCCATAGCACTAAAACACTTAAGAATCACATCATCTGTTGATTCAAAACACTTTTTGTCCTTAACCCTGAGGGATGCTTTGATAGACTTTTTTGTTGCCTGTTTTAGATTATTCTCCGGCTGAAAAATAAATCTAAAACCTAGTCAACAACTTGCTAGAAAATAAAAATCTAAAGAACTTGACATATTAAAGTAGGTGTAATTAGACTCTATATTTTTCCATCCATCTTATCTTTTATTTTATATTCCTACTTATGCATTTTTTTAAACATCTTATGAACACAAATTGGTAAATGTGATTTTTTGCATAATTTTCCTATAAACACTGTTCACTGAAACTAACAATAAAATTAGAAAAGTAAGGAGAACTCAAATCAATCAATCAATTAAATTTATTTGTATAGCACATTTCAGCAACAAGGCAGTTCAAAATGCTTTACATCATAAAAATACAAAGTCATAAAACACACAGTCAACAATTGAAGCATTACATTTTGTCAAGTGGCGTTGTTACATAACATGTTGTTTAATTTATAATGTTTCAAAAGCAACTCTAGAACAGGTGGGTTTTGAGTCTAGATTTAAAGGAACTTAGTGTTTTGGCTGTTTTACCGGTTTGCTCCAGATTTTTGGTGCACAGAAGCTTCTCCACGTTTGGTTCTGGAGAAGCTTCTACGCAGACCAGAACCATAAGACCTGAAGAGGTCTGGAAGGTTGATACAACAACAGGAGATCTTTAATGTGTTGTGGTGCTAAGCCGTTCATTGATTTCTAAACTAACAAGAGTATTTTAAAGTCTATTCTCTGAGCTACCCTGAGCCAGTGTGAGGACTTTAGAACTGGGGTGATGTGCTCTACGTTCCTAGTTTTAGTGAAAACACAAGCAGCAGCGTTCTGGATCAGCTGCAGCGGTCTAGTTGATTTTTTTTTTGGCAGACCTGTGAAGACACTGTTGCCGTAATCATTGCTACTAAAGATAAACGCATGGATGAGTTTCTCTAGATCTTGCAGCAGCTGGTGTTGTCCACCCTCTCTCATTAATAAACTAGCTATTTCATTACCAGTCATTTTGGTTTAAACCTTTAATGGTTATAGACCCCGTCGTGTGCTGACAGTGCATTTTTACATGCTCACTAGGAGGTTCAAGAGGAGCCGTCTGGTGCTGACTGGCTGTAGTTTGACACTTCAATGAGATTGTGGTCTGGATCTCTGAAGTAAAGAGAGGTGATGGGTCCCACAGCTCCACTCCTCTGCACCGGTCCCTCTTCAATTTCAACACCACAAACCTGCCAAAGACAGAAAATGGCACTGAGCATTAACACCTGATTTGTTCTCTTATCAGGAGCAAAAGCCAATATTAAAAGCTATCTGTGTGTTGAGAGCACCTTCAGATGAGCAGCTACTTCAGTCAGAGGGGTTTTGGTGATGAGACACAGGTCTGCAGAGCCTGAAGTTGGATGTTTAGCTTTTGGTTCAAATTCTTTGCCCAACTGGTGAAGGTTAAACTTTTGTTTCCCAAAACCCAGAGCTTTACGGTTCCCCTGGAAAAATTAAGATAGGAGATACAGAAAAACATGACTAGGGAGAGAAAGACGGTATCAGCTGATCCAGAATCAAAGACTTCCATACAGTGGCTATTTTTTTATATTAAAAAAACTTAACTATTTATAATACTGTAAAAATTTTTGTTTCAAAGACAATGACATGTACTTGAGGTATACTTCTTTTTGATAAAGATGGTACCAGTACAGTGTCAATTTTTCACACAATGTTTATTTATTTGTTTTTACATATGCCAAAGATATTAATATGTTAGAGCCTCTCCTACAAGGCTGTCACTTTCCTAACTTTTCAGATTTTTTTCTGAATAAAATCAAAGTTTGTGGTTGCAGAAAAATACCAAAAGCTTCAAGAGACATGAACAGTTCTGCAAGAATTATTATTTTTGACAGTTATGTAATAAGTTTTAATGAATTAGCACATACCTTAAAAGTGACAACCTCCATTCCAAGAACTGATGTATAAAAGTTGATTGTGTCCGGCACACTTTTTACCGTCAACACCAAATGATCTAGGTGGCTCACTTCAACAGGACAGGTTGCCTTGGATCTGACACCCAGGTGAGCTTCAAGGGCGTTGACCTACAAGGGGTGAGAGAAATAATTTTTCGGTAATCAACAGCAGCACATGCTGATGGGTTGGATCTTGAATGTCAAACAAAAGGCCTTACAGCAGGGGTCACCAACTCCAGTTCTCAAGGGCTACCATCCTGCAACTTTTAGATTCACCTCTGCTCCAAAATGTCTGAATTACCTCACCAGCATTCATTCATCTCTGCAATAGGCTGGAAACGAGCAGTTTATTTGATCCAGGTGTGTTTGAGCAGAGACGCATTTAAAAGTTACAAGATGGTAGCCCTCGAGGACTGGAGTTGGTGACCCCATGCCTTACAGCTTACATTTGACTCAACAGCACCACCCAGTGGTGACTCTTTGCTACACGCATTTGACTTAAAGTGAGTGTATTTTCTTGAGGGGTAAATGAGAAACCATCTTGGTGTACTTTAGCAGCGATTTTGCGGCTACTCCTGCTCCAAGATTATTAACAGAAGTCCTTTATTTTACTACCATGAGTACATTTTCCGAAAAAGCAACAACAACTTCGTGGAGAGTACAGCTCTACACGGAAGTATACGCACAGATCAAATGCGTGGGTCCATTTTAAAGCAGAGCTGGCTATGAATAACAGCGAATGCTTGCAAACAAAGCGATAATAATAGTTTACCTTAAAACATGTCCTCTGGAAATACAGTAAGCGGTTACTAGCTGCCCGGAGTGCCATCCTTACTGGCGTGTTGTTCACAGGTCCGACTGGTGTGCCGAGAAACGTTCACCTGACGACCGAAACACTTCCTTGTCCAACAGTCATGTGGACCAATCCCACTAAACTGGCCACACCAGACCGCTTCACAGAAACAATTAAGTATTCTAGAAACTATGTATTTAATTGTAGTCCACGTTATTTTTTCGCATTATTGGTATATCCCACTTCAAAAACAGTATCGATTTCAGTGTTTGTATTCATTTGAATGCTTACGACTAAATTAAACCTTAAACTCAGGTTCTCAGGATATAGAAGACCCACACAATCATGACGAAGCCTGCTGACTTGTCCAGAAAATGTCATTGACACCGTCCCACTATGAAGATAAGGAACAAAAAGGTAATTGGAAGCTAATTAACAGAGTGCTGTATCCATGTGTATTGATGGAAAGTTTAGTGAAAGAAAAAAATATATGGTTGGGGGAATAAAAAGTATCATGAAAATCCAAGACATTGCAGCTGTTCTATTTTCTAGTTAAATCAGCTCTTCTTCAAAATGTAAAAGTCACTGTTAAAATTTTGGTTTAATCTTTTGCCAGCTTTTTTTGACTGGACGTAATATTAAACCTTGGAATGACCAAGTCAGAGTCTGGACCTTAATCCAAGACGTGGAGCTTAAAACTAGTGGAACTTGCTGGTCAGTAAAAAAAATCTGCTAAAGGGGAAAATGTGGGGCAAACAATAATAAAATCTTGATTTATTATACACTAAACAGGTTCATTACAACACTGTTGGTACGCGTTTTATATTTTTATTCTGTATTGGTTCCTAAAACCAAAAAACTAAGAGTTTCAGTGGTTTGACATGTGAACCAGACTAAGTTTTTAAATCACAGAGTGATCTGGTCTAGATGCCAAAGAGAAGTGCAATTTTAAAAAGTGAGTAAAGTCAGGACTTATCCTTTGTAAGTCTAGTAGTAGGTTTCTCCAAAAAATCTATTTGAGGTGTGGTAAGTCAAAGATTAAGGATTTAAATTAAGTGTAAATCATTGTAGTGTTCATTTTATTGCTTAGAAATTTAGATTAATTATTAATATAACAGAATAAGAAGTACAAACAAGTTTTCATACTTACCCATGCCTGAAAAATGCTTAAAGACAACGCAATACTATAGAGAAGTAAGAACTCTGTCAGGTAAATCAAACAAACTTTAACTTGGGTGAGAAATCTAAATCATAATGGACTTAAAAAGCGTGACAGAAAAGATGTTTTATAAAACACGGCTGCATCCCTTTGGCGTATTACTGGTAGAGCTTTTGCACCAAAGCTCTACATTTTATTTTTAAAATGTTCTCATTTTAAAAATAAAATGGAAACACTGCAGCAGTGTCTTACTAAAGCATTACAAATGAATGACTTGAGCACATACATGCACCATCATAAAAAAACGTCACCGCAAGCAGAGCACAGAACTCATACCTCTGATGTATTGTTTTATAGCATATCAACTCGTTTAATTCAGCGGTTAGTTTCATTAAAACACCCAGTTAACATCCTGCACTGGGTAGGTCACAGAACAAGGCCAAACCGAAGCTCGGCCCCTTTAAAGGAAACAGACATTTTTTTTTTTTTTTTTTTTTTTTTTTAACATGTTAATGCTATTCAACATCTTGCATTCAAATATTTGTGTCCCACAGAGGGGAGGTAATAATCGTGGCTAAGACATCAAACAGTGAAACAAGAAACAGGATGGCAATAAGTGATGCCCTTCAGCTCCTTTACTGGTCAATGTTCCTGTTTATTAATTATTAAAACCTACATAGCTTCTAAATAAATCAACTTCAACACATACTGTAAAGGGTTATAAGTCTTCATTTAGGATTTAAACAGTTTTTAACAATAGTACACATTTAAATCATGGTTTGTTTTACTATACTTGTACATTTTGCAAATATTGCACACCACTTGGGAAGATTTGCTCATAAAGCAGTTGGGTAACTTCTTGATTTTCTATTGAAATTTTAATTTTCTGTCAATGTTTGACAGTCTAAGCCATTGTTTAATAAATATTGAGCAACTTGTAGAATATGATGGACCTACCTTTTAGAGACAAACTCTGGCTTGAGATAAGGTTAAAGGTTATTTCCATATAAAGCCAGTTTCTGGTTATATGACTAACTTAGTATGAGAGAAATATGATGAGCTCGTTATCAGACCGTAGCTGCTGGTGAGAGAAGGGGAATGAATCGCTGTACATGAGAAATGAATAGTGGAAGAGGGACAACTTTGAACTTCAATTTTAAGCCTATTATGAAATAAAAACTCACCTTAAATTTCCTCACCATAATGACATTTCATGATAATTTTGCCCATTTGCATCCAGGTGTTTCAGCAGTCTTGTGGACATTTTTTTTTTTTTTTAGAAATTCTGTCCCCAACTTCCAATTAAAAGTAATTTTTCATAATCTACTTCCTCTGTTGGAAGGAAATGTAGTTTTATGACTCCAATAATTGATATTTACCAGCAGATTGTTGCTTAAGAGTTGCTTTACTCTGATCAAGTTTTATAATTCATCATATTTCATGAGGTTTAACTGGCTAAAACTGGGCTGATAACCTATACCATTGTAAACTGGGTATAATAAAGTTTTCATAAAATATGGAAAAATATGAAATTTCCATAATTTGCATAATTTATTTGATCTACCAAAGAAATGATATGCAATGTTAAGAACAAGTGTGAGAAATGAATTGTTTACAGGTATGAAATGTAAATGGTAAAGGACAAAATGGCAACATGTAGGTGGAAAATGTGGGTACAAATTGTCAAAAGGGGCCAAATTTACCTGAAGCCAATGCAGGCAGAACCCCATTTCTGATATTTCTTCTGTTTAAAAAAAAACACTGCAGGATGCCAAATATTTTCCTCTATGCTAGACCAACATTTTTTTTTTAATTTTTGTTTTAAACAACCTAGCCTAGCAGAGTATTGGCAAATGGAACTCCAAAGGAGGGTCTTGATTTGGCCATGTGATCAAAAAGGAGCACAAGTTTCACCATTACCTGCAGACCAACTCAAGTGAACATATGTCTGCTATGCAAGCTCATTCTCTCCCCATCCTGAAACTACTTTAAGTGTAACCGAAATGACTCCGATCCTCTAATTTACAGTCCTAAACCAATTCACTGATACAAAGAGTCAAAATTATTTTTACAAGCCTATTTACAGCTAATACTTTCAAACTGCTGCAACTAAGAATTGTGCTTGAGGTGCTAATTAAGATTCATACCAAAAGAAGATGTCTGAAGTGCTTGAACTACCGGCAGGTGTGCAGCAGCATTTATAATCAAAGGGTTTAATATAAGATTATAGGTCTGCTTGTGTACATAACTTGGTGCATCACTGCATGGACACAACAGGTTGATCAACAGCATGCACTGCTTCTGCTCAGCTCTGAACAATAGCAAATGTCAACTTGGAGTCTGAATGCATGTCAAGAGACTGAGCACCTCAAATGAAACCTGTAACATAATGATCAAACTCACAAATTATGAGAAAAAAAATAATTTTCAATAGTGGAGACATTTCTTCAAAGCATCTTACATGACTTGGATGTGTAATTAGTTTGAAATATTGAAAAGGTTGGAGTCTGTTAAGAGTTAGATCACGCTCTCTCGGTTGGCTGATACCAGGACAGCCCTGCGACAGATGGGGCAGGTGGAGTTCTCAGAGAGCCAGCGGTCTATGCAGTGCACATGGTACTCATGAGAGCAGGGAAGCTTGCGTAACTTGTTCCCCTCAGCGTACTCTGTTATACAGACGCTACAGGTTTTCAAGGCGTCGCTCTCACCAAAGTTGCGCATGGAGAGGTTATCAATCTGTTCTTTGGTCAGCCCCTGAGGCTGGTCATCGTCGTCGTCATTCAGGAGGAAGAAATGAGCAAGTCGTAGAAAGGGCAGTGAACTGGGCTCCTCTAGGCTGATGGGGGGTCTAGGTCGAGCCCTTCCACCAGAAGCCTGTGGGCCAGTAGTAAGACCCTCATCTGCATCTGTCTCAACTGTCCTCTCTCTAACTCCAGCAGCAGCAGCAGCAACCGATGGTTGCTCATCAGCAGCAGACGCGTCAGCGTTACTAGCATCTGGATTATTAAGGGACTCCGTATCGGCGGGTGTCCCGGTACCGCGGTTTGAATCTGAAGAATCTGAGTCGGAGTCCATGAGGTAGCCTAGCTCGCCGAAGCCCGTCATGATCTGCCTTATCATAGACTGGAGAGCCATCGACGTCGCCTCTCCTAACCCTGCGTCGGAGATCCTGCGAATGGGGATTCGAATGGTGCTGACGTAGGTCCTCACTCCGGCACGCTCGGAGCGCGAGAAGGTCCTGCGAAAACCCCCTCGCTCACTCTCATAGAGAAAAGTGTTGTTGGAGTTCTGCGAGCGTGACCGGGTACGGCTGGCGATGCTGTCTCTTTGCCGATATTCGCCTGGACGCACACGACGCACCTGAAGGTCGAGCATTATAGTTGGGGGACGGCGCTCCGCCGAACCTCCTTCATTCCCGTTGGGTTCTCCTTCCTGAGGTCTGACATTCTGGGCCTCCGGGACTGATTCTGCTTCAACACTGGGTGGCTGAACATTGTCGTCTGCTGGGCTTTGCCTGGAGAGAATATGTTGTCGAGTCCGAGAACTGCCCTCCACTTGAGGCACTGGAGGTGTGTCAGTGGAAGAACTGGGGCTCTGAGAGCCATAGGTGTGTCGTGGACCGGGTAGGTCATCTAGCTGATCCAAACGGAGAGGTGAGCGGCTTCTGGCTAGGCGGGCTCTGGTCCTACGTGGTTCTGGGCTACGGCTGCGGGGTCTCCTTTGTCCCCTTCTTGGAGAAGAACAAGGTGGGGGTTGCTCCGGTGAAGCTTCTTCTACGACTGGAGCTGGAGGTGGAGCTGGGGGCGGACTGGGAGGTTCCTCGACAGCTTCTTGTGAGGCAACCTCTTCTTCAGGTGTTTCTTCAGGTTCTGGCTCAACAATGACAGCTAACTCTTCAACAACTGGTTCTTCCACAACCTCCGTTTCCATAGGAACCTGTGGTTCAGGATCTGCAACCTCTTCTTCCTCTTGGCCCGTTGGGGGCTGCTCTGAAGGCCCCTGTTCTCCTTCAGCAGCGGCCTGCTGTTCGGCCAGGTTGCGGTTCACACTGATCTCCAAGCTAAAGCGAAAGTCACCACTGTTTGGGTTGGTCTGGCTCACAGCTCGCCACGACTGGTTTCCGCGGTGTCCAGTTCTAGTTGTGTTGCCGGTTCGTCTCACTGTGTTGAGCCAGTCAAGCAAGCTATCCCCACCTTGGGAATCCTCAGAGCTCTCTGGAGTTTCTATTTGGGGACAAAAGCCAAAGGCAAATTACATCTAAATTCAGATGCACATCATGCATTCAAAATCTGAAAGATCCTGTAAACATACCGACGGGATCCTCGGTATTTTCTGTGCTTGGGTTGTTATTCTGCGGCTGCTCTGGACCATCTTTGATTTGCTGAAGTCTATTGAACAGCTCATCCTCAGTTACCTCCCCTGGAAAAGATATCAGCAAATAGTTTATTAAGTACTACTTTCAAGGCATTATCCACTTTCTCTTCTCAACAAATTGCTGGGGAAAAAAGTTCTTATAATAAAAACAAAATGTGGAATTGCAGCAAAGAAAGACTAAGACTGAGATATGCTAAAATACAGCTACATAGAGAAAATCTTCTTAGTAAGTCAAAGCATAAACAACTTAAAAACCTGTTACTTTGAACTCAAGTTGAATGCAATTTGGTCGGACGCAGCAACAGGACAATACTACAAAACCTCCAGACTTACCAGGTATGCCACTGTCCATTTAATTCCCCCTCCTTGGTCCTCCACTAAAGGACGCTGCAAACTTATATTTCCCCACCCACTGTCCAGGGACAGAAATGGACTGCACATCCTCGACTGTCCACAGGCGGTTGCATTTTGAGCAAACACAAGTATAGTGAAAAAAGCGGAAACTAGCCAAAGTTGGAAAAAATTTAATACATGATATGAAAAACAGGTTGACAAACTAACTATACTAAAAATATATATATCAACGTGATACTACATTGTCCACTATTTGTCCTTTAGAATGTCTCAATAATAATACTTTGGTTTTGTAAACTGTGTCTTCATGATGTTTAGGATTAGGTGATGCTCGAGTTCCAGACATCAAAGTTTGCTTAAAGATGTTGATGTGACAACAATCCACAGGAACACAGTTGGTATGGCAAGTTCAAACTGAACGCCAGCTTTTTACAGTATGCATTACAGTTAAGTAAAAAAGAAAAGAAAAAAAGGCCCAATATAACTATACTTAAACCAGGCTAGCGGTTTGCAGGCAATTACTGATCCTACTATTTGCTGATATCCTAAATAAACAGTGATTTATGTTAATATCATTGCAAAAGATCCTGAATATACAAACAGATCCCTTATGTCTAAATTGTCAACATGGATAGATATCTCTTCTAAATACTTCCACATCTACATATAAAATTGGAGACAGACACATGACATCAAAAGGAATCCTACAAGTGTTTCTAATTTCAAACTTTTCTAGAAATCACTTTGTTTTTTAGCTGTTTTTATAACATTCTGCATTTTTGAATACAGATAGTCATTTTACCATCTTTATGTCAACAAATCATAAATAAGCACAATGCTGAATAAGAATCCAACTTCAGCATTGTGCTCATTATTATTATACTCATCGTTTTTTTTGGCTTCTGGACTGGATTTTCATGTAGTAAGTGTGTGTTTTGTTTTTTTGTTTTTTTTTAATACAGTTTGAATTCTGTGGTCTTCATTCTAAAGTTTTGTAAAAATCACAAAGATTAGAGTGTCACTGTTTTGATTGTGTTAAGAAAATGTAATCTTAGGTAGTTTGATAACCACAAGCTTAGTTTAAAGTTCTGACTTGAGCTGACTCAGAGGCAAAAACATAATCCTGGGCGAAACAGCCTTTTTTGAATTAGTTGTATCCAGCCGAAATTTCTTTTACCATCCTTATGCAGGAGAAAATAATTCTAATTTATATTTCATCACCTGGATTGCCCAAGAGGTTGTTGTCTCGCATAAGACGATAGTCCTCATCACTGAGATTGTTGACAAATTGATAAAAGGCCTCTTCCCGGTCTAGACGATCCAACTGCCTTCGGCGCTGCGACTCTGGCTGGTCACCGCCACCTTGCTCTACGCTGTCAGACCCTTCCATTGACTCTGAAGGGCAGAAAAATGAACGGGATACTCTGCAACTTTGAGCAAGATCCAGTAACTGCAAGAAATGAGAACATTACATTCTTAGAAATTTGAGGTAATTAATGTCAGTGAGTATGAAGCAGTCATTTGTATTCCATTCAAAGAATTGACCGTCTTGTCTCCTCAAAAAGTTATTATTTTATGATAAAGTGTTTAGGTAACCGTAGCAAAGTAAACAAACCTAGAATTTGATTTGCAATCTCAATTATTTACCTTTATAAATAAAATAGCCTGGACATCATGTCCAACTTTTAGTATAACAAAACTATGATAAAGATGACCGGAATAAAAAGAAAGAGAAAAAGATTCGTTAATGTTTCTGAGTAGCTGCAATGAAGGCCAAAACTAATCATACCCTCGGCAGATTTGAGATTTTTATTCAACCACAAACTTTATTACCGGTTAGTAACTACACAGGCATCTCTCAAAAGTTAAGGCAATGCATCAGACGGGTTGAACAAAAACAAAACAAAACATGTTTTGTTTAGGCTTGAATAAAAGCTACATGTTGAAAATGATTTACATACTGCTCAGTCATTTACAAAAAATATTTTTATTAGCATTACTTATTAACAGAATTGCAACCAAACCCTTCCTAATAATTGCTGACGAGCTTTTGGCGTGTCTACAGCAGCATTTTCAATGATTCATCATTTGTAATGAGCTTCAGGTGTTTAAGGTTGGAACATATCCTTGCCATAACCCTAATCTTTAGCTCCCTACACAGATTCAAGTCAGTACTCTGGTTCAGCATTTCCAACATATCAATATTATTTCTATTCAGAAGAAACATGCTAGTGAAATTATAAGATTAGTTAAAATCCAAATCAGCAAAGGATAATTAAAGGAACTGATTTAATACACAAACACATGCTTTTCTATACAAAAACAAATAAAGAAAATATGAACAGCGTCTATTTCGAAACAGCTATGAATGGTAGTGTGAGTCGAGTTGTTCTCAAAACAAAAGATTCAGTTTAACAAAATGACACACTTGGGATGCCCGAATCTAACTACATGGTACGCCTTGAAAAAGAATGTGTTTTACTTTATGCAAAGAAATACTTCTAGTACTTCTATTGGTAATAGTAAGTAATTAGTTGTAATAGACATGACATTTCTGATTATTAAAATACCTGTTAGAACTAAACTTTGTGATTGATATTTATTGAACTAATAATTTAGGAATATTTTTTAACAATGTCTTGAGGTTTTTGCTTTAAAAATTTGGTCTACGTTAAAGTAGGAAAATATACAAGTGAAATCTTGTTATTTAATATAACAATGACGAAAGAAGGTATGACTTTTCTGCCGCCTCAATTTGGTTTCCATCATTACGACTGTCCTAAAATTTTCCATGACCTTAAGCAGCTTGGCCAGAAAAATCTGTCAGCTGTCAAGGGAACTTAAGAGTTTATCTAACTAGCCAAATATATTATTTGTGAACTAAATATCATGACTAGCCACTTCCTTGAGATTGCAGTACTTCACATATTGAATTTGTGTTAATTGCAATTCAATATTTTGTACAGGTCCACAAGAAACAAAGTTAATTTTGTGATGACAGTTAAAATTTACAATATTTCATTTATGCTATAAATTGAGGGACAGAAATTAGCACTAAGATATGGATTTAAAAAATCTGTTCACTGTCCTGAAAGCCTTACAAAATGGCTTTCAGGACAGTTTGTATTTGAAAAGTCTTTTGATACTCTTTTAAAAAATGGTTTTGACATAAAAGGCTTCTGTAGATTTTACCAATATAAACCAGACTTAAACGAAAACACCTTATTTTATACATTCAGTCTCACAAGAGAACGGACAAAGCTCTGCAAAACTCAAATTGTGAAATAACAAAACATCTCTTCTGAATACGTAGTTGTAACTTGTGTTAGCGTAGTTCACAAAGCATACTGGCAAGCCACCCTAACAACAGACCAGCCACAAGGCTAAGAAGCCTTTTGGTTTTTAATCACAAACAATGTACTCTTTAATCTAGAAATCACGGCAACTTAAATCTACTTAGTATTTACAAATACATTAAATCATCTTTAGACTATGCCTCTTAAAGTCAAAGACGACATCCAGTATGTTGGTCAAAGTCGAGATAAAAACAAAATGGCATCTTATGACTTGCGTTTCCTAGCTACCGATTAGCTTTGTGTAAGATAGCTAATGCTGTACTTTCGTAACGAAATGCAGAGACAACGGTTTTCAAAGTTGCCCAAATAATAAAATATTCAAAGTCTGAACCAGATACTATCAGTAATATCGGTTTAAAATATGGCAATAAAACGATCAAACGACCCGGTTATATAGCATTTAAGCTGGTTAGCGCTCGGGGTAGCCAAGTGGCTAACTACGGACGCTACAAACGGCACAGTTAACGGTAGTTAACTTTTCCATTTTGACAACTTATTTATTAATAGTTATATTATATAAGACGTAAGAATATTTACATGTATAATTTCTATTTCCTTTTGCTGGAGACTCCTTATGTTGTCATTAAAAATATATTAAGCCCGTTGTAGCATCAACACGAGCTAACTTAGCAAACGACGTCAACCAGTGACGTTCATACATCAAGCAAACAAGCTAAAAAAATGCTAAGTACGAAAGAACCAAGTTAACCAGGCGGAAGGCGTTGCTTTAGTAACAAATTAATGTCACTCTACCTTGTTAGTGATGTTGTGATCAATACAGATGGACGACAAGATTCCTATTTAAAGAATAGACTGAGAAAAAAGACTGGTTTAGTAGAGTACGAGCTCAGGATTCCATTTTCTTTCTTGTAGGAAGGCTATAATGATTTTCCGGAAATAGATTTAAAGGAAGTTTTTCCCGGAGTACGGCCTGAAGGCAAAGAGTAAATTGTTCCCGAAAAATCAGACATTTGCCGTAATACCCACGAGCATAGGTGTCTTGTGTTATTTATATTACATATATAGTTAGTTAAACCTCCTTATACTGCTTGGTTAATGGCAATATTTCGACAAGCGCTACCTGTCAGATTTTAATAGGGGTAAAAATTTTCCCATGCGCCATAGGTTAGAAAGAGTGAAAATATGTTTATTTAGAACATGGGTAGAAGCTGTAGTGTCACGGTGTGGTAAGAGTGGAGGACAACGCGAGATTGACAGAACAACATACAAAAAATCTTAGAGGTTTACATACCTCGGTCAAAATCTGGCCTTTGTTACGTACAAATGAAAAAAAAAAAACATTTAACTATATGCGACTGGCGAGCGAAACGAACTTTTAAAATAATAATAATAATAATAATAATAATAATAATAATAATAATAAAGTAATAATAATAAAACCACAAAGTTTTGATTTCAAACAAAAAAAGCTTCTTTTTTTTTTAAATCAGTTCGTGAGGAGGTCCCTTGTCCACACCCAACTCAGTTTTATCCCGTTGAATATTGTTTTAGACTGTTCTGGCAATTGTAAATAAATTATTTTGTTTATTTGGATAGCTTTTCTAACATTTACCTAAACTAATGTCTTGAACTGTCTAATTCACTTTGGAGAGTGGGGGGCACGAATATTGTCATCTGAAGAAAGCACGATTGTGACATTTTCGTTTTTCTTTTTTTTTTTTCTTTTTTTTTTTGCCAAAACTTTTGTATTTGTGGCCCAGAAGTTTAAACTTGGTGTCAGTAGTCCAGAACTAGTTTAGCCGGGCATGGACATTTTCTTTGGAATGAACAGATTGTGTTTTCAACTCATTTCTTAATCTAGACCTGTGGAGAATACAGAAAGTTGTGTCACATGCAGAACCAGAAATCCCTTTGAGCTGCTTGTTACGTTTGCCCTATTAGGGGTCTCCCTGATCAGTTTCAGTCTCATCTATTGATAACTGTCTTTTTATACCTTGATATTATTGCAGTGACATTTTTTGGCAACAATAAAATCCGTAGAATTTTTTGTGACTCTTCTAAGTGATTTTACCTAAAGGTGCAAATAAGGAAATAGAAAAATCATTAAAAGAACAAGCTTACTTAATTTTTATCTGATGTTAGATGTGTCATTAGACCACATGTTAAATTGGAAGTAAATGGAACATTTATCTAGGAGTGTGCACTCTCATGCAACCAGATTACTGCAACTTGTTTTGCCTTTTAAATGTAACAGATTTCCTTTTTTTTATCAGTTGAATAATACAAATTATATTTCACATTAAGCGTAAAATTTTGTATTGCTTTGCTAAGGGGGCAAGTATCATTATTGCTGTTCTAATGGGATCCTCTAATAATATTGGAGCTCTACAGCCAAACCAAACCCAGAACAGAAATGTCTGGGTTTTATTAGGTAGTCTGCTTTGGAGGAGCTTCAAACTTTATGATGAATAAAAGAAATACTTATCCTTTATTAGGACTTTTACAGGAATTGCAGCCAGATGTGGGAGCACAGGCATCTGATGAGGATGCCTTATGGGCACCACCCTTTGGAGATTTTTGGAACAGAGCACCAGACCAAGAACTTGTATATTCCTCCTAGCCTGTGAAGGACTTGGGGTCCCCCTCCAGGATGAGTCAGAGAGTGCCTTTGAAGATAGCTTCCTATGTCTCCCTTCTGGACCTACTCCATTCAGAAAAAGAGAAACTTTACCAGATTTAGAGTTATCAGCATCCTGTTAAGGGTCTTGAACACACTCAAAAGACCCACTTTAGACTAGCGGTTCTCAATGTGGGCGGTACCGCCCCCCGGGGGGCGTTCAGAGGACGGCAGGGGGCGCTGGCGGACATTTTTATAAAAGGGGGGCGCTGGGATGCCTT